TAATTCATGGCCCAAATCCAACAGAACCGGTTGGGCTGATTCGGTTCCGTTTGGTCTCGGGTGACAACTCTAGCGCTCAACCCTGCATTACCACATTAAGGCGGAGGTAAATGTGGAGGACGCTCACTCTGACAGATTTGGATGCAGCATTTTATTTGATTATTTTCCTCAGCTCTATGATCAGTCGAGTCACAGTGACAGGACACACACACTGTCACAGACGCATGAGGTTCTGTCTCAATCTGCCCCCCTGCTGATATTTTGCATTCCGTATTCTGAGCTCCAGGCTGTGTGTGTGTGTGTGTGTGTGTGTGTGTGTGTGTGGGGGGGGGGGGTCTTGTTCTGTGTGAAAATTAAGCAGTACAAGTGATAATGCTGCAGGATTTCATAATTGTATCTTCTCAGCAGCAGCACTGCAGGTGCTCTCCATGTCCAACATGTGCGTAAGCCAGGTCCTTAGCTTAAAGTTGTGCACATTTTTCCGCTAAGTTTTCTTTCATAAATCCCAAAGTTTGCGTGGAAAGTTGCTTACGCAGTTTTCCGACCCCGTTTTGTGCGTAAGCAAGCTTGATAAATGAGGCCCCAGGACTTTGATCAATGCAACTAGTAAGTAATTAACTGTAAGTATCTGTACTTGGTTTGAAAAACATGGTGCTGGTGCATCCTGTTCTCTGTCAACAGAAGAGGCGGTACCTGGAGAAGGCCTTGGCGCAGTGTGAACAGATGTAGGGTTTCTCCACGCCACCTTGGTGTGAGCGAACATGATAACTCATCCTGTCTTTCCTCTTGAAGCGCTGCTGGCAGATGGGACAGGAGTAGGGCTTCTCGTCCGAGTGGGACAGTCGATGGCGGTTGAGGTGATAGACGTCTCTGAAGGCTTTACCACAGGCCTCGCAGGCGTGGTTTTTCCTCACCTGGTTGGTGATGGGAATGGGATTGGGATTCTGTGAGGGTAGAACGTTTATTTAATGTTTGTGCCAACGAAACCAGCAGAAACACATCAAGTACAACAACACAATCAGAACAACCAGGAGGAAGTTCGCCTATAACACATTAATAATTTATTGATCAACATTATTACTGATTATATTTGCCCATCTGAAGACACGCACCATGCTGATGTCATTGCCAGGAAATCCCAGGCTCCCCTCGTCCAAACCCACCTGCTCCACAGAACCGACTACCACAACAGCTGCCTGAATGGGCTGGGGCTGTGCAGCCATTGTTACGGTCGCTGGGGCGATGGACACAGTAACTGGCTGGCCTTCCTGGTTGGTGAGCTGGACAGGTTGGGCGAGGGTGTCTGGTATGGCAGTGGGCAGAGGCTGTGGAGGTAGAGTGAGCTGGAGGAGGGACAGAGGGATACTCTGCTTCTCCAGCCGTCCTCCCTTCCCTCCATCCTCCTTTTCTGTCGCCGCTCGGTTCTTCATCTTGATGCCTGTGTGGACGGACTGGTGCCGCCGCAGGTTGTAGCTGTTCTTGAATTCCTTATTGCAGGTGGCACAGATGTGGGCCGGTCGGTTCGGTTTGGTAAGCGGCTTAACTGAAGGAAAATAATCATGAAAGTCACATTTTACTGACACCTGATAGACCCTAACTCCATACTACTTTCTCACTCCTTAAAAAGGTGTGGAACACTGAAAACCCGTTTTTAAAATATTATTTCTGATTATAATCAATCACTCTTGACTTTGTCATGCAGTCTGAACATTAAAATAGTCTCCTACGCCTATCTCCTGCATTAGCTTCTGATAGAAAATGGACGTGAAACTCTAGAATTTGAAAATCCTGACAGATCTACGTCATACTGTCACTTAACAGTCACGGACTCACCCACCTTGACTTGTGACTGGCTGTTGTTGGCTTAGCGTCCAGAAAACAGCAGAGAACATATCGACTAGCAGAAGCTAACTGTTAGCATTAGCAACTCCACCACACAGCAGAACTCTTTCAGGCTTGTGTTATAGGGAGCCTAGGTCACGCCCATCTACTTACGCATCATGGGTCCCCAGAAGAACGAAGAAACGAACGCAAGTCAATGTAGCTAAAACGCTATTTTCTAACTCCGCTTGTTTTGTGCGGAGAAAATTGAGGGAAAAGGGCTGTAAGTTCAGCAAACCTCCCACAAGAGGAAAGAACCACCATAAATCTGGTCATGTGGTAAGTAGCAGCTACGCTAGGGGAAAGGAGATTATGTGGTGATATCACATATGCCGATTTCTAGTTTGTAGTCGCAAATTACGAACTTTTACAAGCTAATACATCTCTAAGTACGTGTCTGTCGTGTTCGAAACGCCCGCCATTATTTTTCATTTAAACTGCAGTACAACATGTGAGTGATCCAAGACGTTAGGCAAAGCGAATTAGAAAATAAGAGTTTTTAGCCCCGTTGACTTGCATTCATGTTTTCTTTCTTCCGGGGACCCGTGATGCGGAAGTAGACTTAGGCTCCCTGTTTGTGGAGATAAAACATCTACATTCCAAAGCAAACAGTCAATGGTAGAGTTGTGTTGCTGTAATCCTATCAGAGGGGAGATGTCCAAATATCAGGAAATAAAACTCCAAATCCTGCCGCTTGAAGCCCTGCTGTGATGTGGCTAACCCTAAGCTACTTTCTCCTCCAGCTGAATTCTATGTGCTGAAACAGGCACAACGAAGCTTTTTTTACCCAGAGTATGACTTACTATAGACCACTGCAAATTTATTAAAATTATGAATGAAGGAACTCTTGATATTAATTTCGTGTGAGCGTTCTCACCAGGAAGCGGCTCCTCATTTAGAGCGGCAGTGTCGACGGTGGACGGAGGTGTGACAACGTGCTCAGCTGGAGGACTCTGAGCCGAGCCGGTCAACTCGGGAAGCAGCTCGGTCTGAAGTGGCGTCTCAGATTGGCTCTGAGTCGGAGCAGTCTGGAAAAAAACAAACACTCTTTGGTTAATTCTGCAGATGTCTTTTATCTTTGTCAACCAAATTCTGGGTGTTTGACATCATTACGGATTCATAAAACCTAAAAAATATCTGATGCTTAGTAACAGAAACAGAGAAAAGGTGCTGCAGAATCTTCCAGAAAAAAGACATTTTCCTGCTTCTCATTCTCCCTTTTCTCATTATTAGTTCATACATTGTGTAGACATTTTGTTTGTATGTTTGAGTTTCCTTTCTGGGTGATTCCTCTGTAGCAGCAGGTGAAACCGTGGGAATGAGTACACGCCAGTGACATCCACTTGCGCTGCCAGGTTCCTGACTGGGACCAGGAAATGGGACCACATCAGTCCAGTTCTGGCCTCCCTGCACTGGCTTCCGATTTCCTATCGCTCACAATTCAAAATACTCGTCTTTGTTTATCATTTCTTCCAGGGTGGTGCTCCCCCCTATCTGGCCACACTCCTGAACAAACATTCCCCATCACGCGCTCTGCGCTCCTCTGACCAAGGCCTGCTCGCTGTCCCTCGGTCTAGGTGTCGTACCCGTGGGGACCGGGCTTTCTCAGTCCTAGCACCGTTACTCTGGAACCAGTTGCCACCCTCAGTTAGGCTGTCCCCTTCTCTGCCAGTCTTTAAGAATCACCTAAAAACACAACTCCTCCGCTTGGCGTTTCCAGAACATGCTTGATTATGGCCCTCTATTATGTTGAATCCATTCCACAGTTTTCATTGGTACACTCAATCCATCCACTCAATCCAATTGTGTTTCACACATTTGTATTTTACCGGAATGTTTCATCTATCTTGTAATTTCCATTTTGTATTTTGTAATTTGTATTTTGTAATTTGAATTTCTTTTATTGTTGATTTATTCAGTATAATTACTTACAACTGTACCATGTTCAGCGCTTTGGGCTTCCTGACAGGGTTGCGGAAGGCGCTTTATAAATAAAGCTTTGATTGATTGATTGATTGACTTAAAATCCTTTCTACTTTTTCTACACTTAATGGAGGGATGAGAGATGATTTTACATGAAATCTTCACTTCTTAACGGCAACCAATAAATTAATCCAACCATCAAGCACGTCCCGTTCTTAATGAATGGATCCTGATCCATCCACCAAACTGCCCTCTGACCATCCCACCCTGTCTGTTAATACTTCACCGTGTGAACAAATTGCACATTCTCGGCTCACAATAAGTGGTAAATGGCCTGTATTTGATATAGCGCCTTCTAGAGACCTGGAACCCCCCAAGGTGCTTTACAACACAATCAGTCGTTCACCCATTCACACACAGATTCTCTCCCTGGAGGTGATGAGCTACGATGTAGCCACAGCTGCCCTGGGGCGCACTGACAGAGGTGACTCAGCCGTTTACAGGCACCACCGGTCCCTCCAACCACCACCAGCAGGCAAGGTGGGTTAAGTGTCTTGCCCAAGGACACGACGACAACGACAGACTGAGTGGGGCTGGAACCTGCAACCTTCCGATTACAGGGTGAGCACTTAACTCCTGTGCCACCGTCGCCGAGTAGCTGAACAGGAAGCGCAGACAGAGCTGGGATAGCTATACAAGCTAAAATACTAAACTGTCCTAAAGTAGCTCGTGTGGATGTATTGAAGATGGTGTCCGGTGCAATAAGCTCATTCTTCCCTGCTGGATTTCCATTCCTGGTCCCAGTGGCTTCTGCCTCTTTAACTTCCAGTGGCGACAGAGTCCGGACAACTCCTGACTGGCACTGGACTACGAGGAGTCTGTCTGGCGGCTGCTAAATTAGAAGTTATTACTTCTGCTATTGCAGAAAAAGGTATAAACGTGTCAAAAAGGTAAGATAACATTGTGTTTTTTAGAGTTGTTGTTGATAGTATCCATTGTTCGGCCTTCTCCTGTATTCTGGAGGCGTGATTAGAGGCGAGTCGGAAGAAAGAGGGTTGGACCTTTGAATTGTGTATTTTGAAAAAGTAGCTCGCTTTAAACTGCTTTTTCCAGGATCCTCTGCTTCACCTTTTATGACTTAAAACATTTAATCGGGTTAAAATGCTGGAAGTGAACCACAGCTGTTGTGAATCACAGTCCTTCCATTAAGACTAGAAAGCTTCTAGAGGTTTTCCTAAATCAGGTAGAATAGTGGTGTACAACCCCAGTCCTCTGGGCCACTACCTGTGTGTTTTCTATGTTTTTCTGCACCACTTGGTTTGAGCCAGTGGATGACAAATACAGGTCCTTCTAAAAAAAATGTATATATTGTGATAAAGTTCATTATTGTCTGTAATGTACTGATAAACATTAGACTTTCATATATATATATATATATATATATATATATATATATATATATATATATATATATATATATATATATATATATATATATATATATATATACATATATATATACACACACACACACATATATATAGTCCAAGCCTTTTATTGTTTCTAATATTGGTGATTTTGGCATACAGCTCATGAAAACTCAAAATTCCTATCTAAAAAAATTAGCATATCATGAAAAGGTTCTCTAAACGAGCTATTAACCTAATCTTCTGATTCAGCTAATTAACTCTAAACACCTGCAAAAGATTCATGAGGCTTTTAAAAACTCCCAGCCTGCTTCATTACTCAAAACCACAATCATGGGTAGGACTGCCGACCTGACTGCTGTCCAGAAGGCCATAATTGACACCCTCAAGCAAGAGGGTAAGACACAGAAAGAAATTTCTGAACAAATAGGCTGTTTCCAGAGTGCTGTATCAAGGCACCTCAGTGTGAAGTCTGTGGGAAGGAAAAAGTGTGGCAGAAAACGCTGCACAATGAGAAGAGGTGACCGGACCCTGAGGAAGATTGTGGAAAAGGACCGATTCCAGACCCTGGGGGACCTGCAGAAGCAGTGGACTGAGTCTGGAGTAGAAACATCCAGAGCCACCATGTACATGCATGTGCAGGAAATGGGCTACAGGTGCCGCATTCCCCAGGTCAAGCCACTTTTGAACCAGAAACAGTGGCAGAAGCGCCTGTATGGCGTTTAAAGCGTGCCACAACCCGTGCACGCGCATTGGGTCCACAGCGCGCGTGTGAACGGGACTCGCGAGCGAAAATATACATGGCGAGAGGTCATTTGTGCACTGAGAGGGAGCAAACTGTGTCTGTGAGCGCACAAGGATGTGCACAAGTGACAAACCTGCGTGCGCGCGTTGTCAACGAGCACACGGCAGAGGAAAACGTGCGCGCGCGGCAGCCTCTGTGCGCGCTCGGCAGCCTCTCTGCGCGCTCGGTTTCTGACTCCTGCTCGCTCGGCTGTAAGGGCTTTTGGCACTCTGGAGGCGTGGCCTGTGGCAGATCTTGTCTGTCCTCTGATTGGTTAGTTTACCCCGCACTTTACCCTCTATCTATATAAAAAAGTCTGATGTTCAGTAGTTGCTGGCATAGCTCAGCTGGGAGAGCGGGTGACTCTCGCCCCGGAGGATCCAGGTTCGAGTCCGGGCAAGGAAAATGTAGTAGACGTCATGTTAATTTTTCTTAATTTCAGGTATTTTACAGTTGTGACCGTTCAACTGTCATTAAACGTCCGAATGTTTGCTGGGCAGTGTTTTAAAAAGTGCACATAAGCTAGATGGTTTTAACCATATAAAATTACATTTTTTGTGATACTGGAAAAATACATACTGAAATAAAACTACTGATTGAAAACTTTATGACTGTGGTTGTACAATATATGACTCACTAATACACTGCAAACTCCCTTAGAGTGGGGCTTCCAGAGAGAGAGAGAGAGAGAGAAAAGTTCTTGCCTCATTAATGAATTGTTTATTTTTTTCAGTATTTAATTGACAAATTATCCTTTCAAATAATTAATTGATGAGTTACATAATTGTCCATTTAGAATTGTTGAATGGACTGAGTCAAGTTTGGTGCTCTTTATATATTTCAAAACATGTTTTTTTTTATTTTAATGATGCATATAAATAATTTAAATGTTAATTTAATGAAATATTTCTATTTTTTCATTACCTCACCCTTGTTTTGACAAAAACGGGACCTTGCTGGATAATATCATGGAGAAACTATTTGTTCACAGTACATGGCTCAGTGAGGATCTGTGCACCAAAGGAGGAGATACTCAGAAATCTGTCTGCAGATTGTTACAACCCAGACTGGAAGTGGTGGGCTGTAATAAGAAAGGAGACCAAACAGAGGAGTGGGGGTTCAACAACTGATTTATTTAACAAAAGTAAGGATTTACTAAAGCAAGTTAGTGAACAGAAAATGGCCATCTCAAGGTTTTACTCGGATGTCCCTCAGCAGGGTGCAGCACTGTTGAAGGTCATCTGAATGAAAGCTTGATATGCAGTTTCTTTATGAAATGGACAATTATGTAAATCATCAATTAATTATTTGAAAGAATAATTTGTCAATTAAATAGTGAAAAAAATAAACAATTCATTAATGAGGCAAGAACTTTTCTCTCTCTCTCTCTCTCTCTCTCTCTGGAAGCCCCACTCTAAGGGAGTTTGCAGTGTATTAGTGAGTCATATATTGTACAACCACAGTCATAAAGTTTTCAATCAGTAGTTTTATTTCAGTATGTATTTTTCCAGTATCACAAAAAATGTAATTTTATATGGTTAAAACCATCTAGCTTATGTGCACTTTTTAAAACACTGCCCAGCAAACATTAGGACGTTTAATGACAGTTGAACGGTCACAACTGTAAAATACCTGAAATTAAGAAAAATTAACATGACGTCTACTACATTTTCCTTGCCCGGACTCGAACCTGGATCCTCCGGGACGAGAGTCACCCGCTCTCCCAGCTGAGCTATGCCAGCAACTACTGAACATCAGACTTTTTTATATAGATAGAGAGTAAAGTGCGGGGTGAACTAACCAATCAGAGGACAGACAAGATCTGCCACAGGCCACGCCTCCAGAGTGCCAAAAGCCCTTACAGCCGAGCGAGCAGGAGTCAGAAACCGAGCGCGCAGAGAGGCTGTCGAGCGCGCACAGAGGCTGCCGCGCGCGCACGTTTTCCTCTGCCGTGTGCTCGTTGACAACGCGCGCACGCAGGTTTGTCACTTGTGCACATCCTTGTGCGCTCACAGACACAGTTTGCTCCCTCTCAGTGCACAAATGACCTCTCGCCATGTATATTTTCGCTCGCGAGTCCCGTTCACACGCGCGCGAGTCCCGTTCACACGCGCGCTGTGAACCCAATGCGCGTGCACGGGTTGTGACACGGGTATGACGCGATACGCCTGACCTGGGCTACAGAGAAGCAGCACTGGACTGTTGCTCAGTGGTCCAAAGTACTTTTTTCGAATGAAAGCAAATTTTGCATGTCATTCGGAAATCAAGGTGCCAGAGTCTGGAGGAAGACTGGGCAGATGGAAATGCTAAAATGCCTGAAGTCCAGTGTCAAGTACCCACAGTCATTGATGGTCTGGGGTGCCATGTCAGCTGCTGGTGTTGGTCCACTGTGTTTTATCAAGGGCAGGGTCAATGCAGCTAGCTATCAGGAGATTTTGGAGCACTTCATGCTTCCATCTGCTGAAAAGCTTTATGGAGATGAAGATTTCATTTTTCAGCATGACCTGGCACCTGCTCACAGTGCCAAAACCACTGGTAAATGGTTTACTGACCATGGTATTACTGTGCTCAATTGGCCTGCCAACTCTCCTGACCTGAACCCCGTAGAGAATCTGTGGGATATTGTGAAGAGAAAGCTGAGAGACGCAAGACCCAACACTCTGGATGAGCTTAAGCCACTATCGAAGCATCCTGGGCCTCCATAACACCTCAGCAGTGCCACAGGCTGGTTGCCTCCATGCCACGCCACACTGAAGCAGTCATTTCAGCAAAAGGATTCCCGACCAAGTATTGAGTGCATAACTGAGCATAATTATTTGAAGGTTGACTTTTTTGTATTAAAAACACTTTTCTTTTATTGGTCAAATAAAATATGCTAATTTGTGAGATAGAGCTGTATGCCAAAATCATCAATATTAGAAACAATAAAAGGCTTGAACTACTTCAGTTGTGTGTAATGAATCTAATATATATGAAAGTCTAATGTTTGTCAGTACATTACAGGAAATAATGAACTTTATCACAATATGCAAATTTTTTGAGAAGGACCTGTAGGCTTCTGAAGCACTATCATGACCTGCTGAAAAATTCTGGTTCAACCACTGAATCGAGTGTGTTTTAGCAGGGAAAATAAAACGTAAACATGCTGAATTGAATGCCTGGAGGGCCAGGGTTGGAGATTACCATTATAAGGCTATTTAACCCATACCTATAAATTATTCAGACATAAGTATCCTAACCTCAAGGGACAAACCAGGCTTACGTTAGCACATAACAGACAACTTTGAAAATATTCGGTTGTAAATTATAATGGGTCTTTAACAGCAGTTTATCACAAAGACATAAATTTCTCCAATTTCACAATTCTGAGAGACAGAAAATGGGGGTTTTGCATCAAAATGTGATTCTAAAGAGCTATTACTGGTAGTTGACCATTTGGTACGAGGTATCATCACGACCTTTTCTTTTCATGTCTGCTTCGCTTGTTCGGGATTTAGGATTGTATAAAGTTCTACATACATAGTTAGAAAGATCTTCTGAGAGCCTAGAGGAATATTGATCAAGACAGTTTTAAAGGGTTCCAATGCCTAGCTGCACTAATGGTAAATAAACCAGAGCTCAAACTGACTTCTGTATGATGCTGTATTATTTACTGATTTCAGTAAAAATACAATTTTTAAATAATCCCAGTTTGGATTATCTGCCATTGAAGCCATTCACATGAAAATCACACGATGCTGGCGTTGGGCCAAATGTCAGTCATTTCGATGTTGATCGTGATTTTTCTCAGAGGTGCATTTTTATCTTCATCCTGACCCCTCCGTGACTTCCCACAACCTCTTTAACCCCACACAGGAATGTCAGACACCCCCCACCTCCTCAGTCTTCTCCTCCTCCCCCCCGTGTCAACCACAAAACAGCTCCAGACATAATTAACACTTACCTGAAAGAGGAAATTACTCCAGGAGGTGTCCATGCTGAGGGGCTGACAACGACCCCGCCTGGGACCGAGGAGGGGAGGGAGGAGGAGGAGGGCAACGGAGCCCGGAGAGAAATGCTCCGAGAGCTGCAAGGAAAACAGTCCGAGGCCCGGATCGCCTCTCTAACTGCTCGGGCTAGTTACCGGAAAATATGTTGACACCGGACGATATTCGCCTCAAATAACGCAGTTCTTAGAGCTGCTGTGAGTCATGACTTAATATGGCACTGGCATGGTGTTTTTGTAAATGCGACAAAATGGATGGTGTCATGCTGGCTTTCACGGTGACTTTTAATATAATTTGCTTATGATTACTGTAATAAAAATTAGTGAATTGCATGCAAGATAAATACGTTTTCTATGCGGATGACGAGTCGGAACGTGCCAGTCATGTTCGGCAGCTCTTCGCGAATCTTTTAATATTCGGTTGTTACGGAAAGGCCGCAGCGGCGGGATTCAAGCCTCGGCGTTGCGTACAGCTCCTCCCCTCTCTAGAGAGCTCCTGGTCGGCCGCGGTGCGTGGCTCCGCCTCGGTGTTTCAGTCTGGAGGATGACATCTTTCTGTTTTTTTAATCCCTCTCCGTGTCGCCCTCCCTCCCACTCTGTCTTTCTTCCTTTTCTTTTTTTATCTCTTCACCCCCTCTGTCCCGTTCCGCTTTAAAGGGAAGGGGTTTGTCTCGCGCACCCTCCGCGCGGACCCCGCCTCGTGCCGTGCCGCCACTTCTCCGTAGGCCGACAAATAATTTTATCCCGACGTTTACGGAATCCGCGCGGCCGTCGGTTCCTCCACGTCGCCGTAAAGATTACCGTTGATTGCCAGAATTACACGCGGCCAAACGGTCCGGACGGTGTCCGCCGAACTCTGGGCCAAAATGGTGCCGAGTTTAGATCAAACCAGGCTTTATCCCTCGAGCATCTTAAAGGTAACGATTCGCGCAAGTGCAACAGCTGGACCGAGCTGTCGCCGCACACATGACGTTCATATCCGAAAGCGCAGCTCACCAAACTCCATTCAAAAAACCCTCTATTTTAGATCATGTCGTTTGTTGTCACACAGTTCAATAAAAGCCTGTTTTACCATGCAGTACAAAGCATGTTTACATTCAGTGAGCATACAGTAAATAAAAAAATCATGTTATTTGAGATTTTCTGGAAAACAATTAATCGTTAATACATATTTGAGAAAAATAAATGCAGCTTTGAATGTAACTAATTACATAAAACTGTTCTAATGGACTATCACTTTCTCTGAGTACTGCATGTCCTGCCCCCCCCCCCCCCCAAAAAAAAAACTACGTCCCACTGTACACTGACTGAGACAAGCAAGGCTGCCACAATCAGCACCACAACTAGTCCCTATACCACCAGCAGCCAAGGCAGGTTAAGTGACTGGTCCAATGGCTGACATGGCCAGGGGTCAACTGGCCAACCTGGCATGGCACTGTCCCGGTGGGCTGCTTACCCAGCTTGGGCTGACATAGTGGTGCAAAATATACGTGTGCATGCGCTGCTTATCGTGGCTGCAGGAACCGAAGTGTGGATAGCCCCAAACCCACCTCCCCACCTAGTGGACACTTATGTTGTGAGATGTCTGAAGTCTGTTGCATTTCTGTGTGAGGTGTTTTTTTTTTTTTTGCAGAGCAAAGCTGCCCTCCCAGTGGAGGGTAGCTCTGAAGCAGTGGCGGTTCTACATGGAATTACTCCCCGGGCGAGGCCCCCTTTGAGCGCCCCCCCAACTGCCCCCACCACCACCACCACACCACCAAACCTGCACGAACACACACGTTTTCTATAAACAGGCATGTTTTATTAGAACGACTATTGAACATTCATTTTTCTAAGTTGCACATATTTACATGAATTACTATGAAGTTGTCAGAATGTAAAGCAATATACATTATACACTGTATCAAAATATATAGAATCAAATATACAAAAACAATTAAACTAACTAAATATTAAGAATATATGCACATAATATATAATAAATATTCTAAATAGCAAAAATATTTCACACATAACAAACTAAAGATAATCACTACAGCACTGCACTTAGAACAGAAAACACAAACTAAAATTAAAACCTAACCTTGATGCAAAGTCATCAATAATGTCATCATTTGAAATCTGCTCCCCTACTGAGTGATTGATACTAATCAGAGCCAGGTTAGTGAGCTGCCCCTGAAACATAGTTGACCTCAGGTATGACTTGATCAAGTTTTGAAAAGCTCCTCTCAGCTTGAGCCACAGTGACTGGCAGAGCAGTCCAAAAGTTGGGGTAGATCTCCAATAGATCTTTATCATGATCCATAATATTTTACAATTGCCTCTGAAATTGTAATTTAAACTGACATAAAAAAACTGTAGACTACCAAAAATGCCAACTTTTACAGAACAAATCATGTAAAAAATAATCAGTGCAGCCATCTGCAATAAATAAACAGGATAGTTAGTGGTGACTGGGGAGTTTTCTTCTGCTTGTAGAGTTGTTTTATTTATTATTATGTGAACATGATCAACATGTGTTTGTTGTTGTTCAGGCAGGCCACGGGCTGCAGTGAGCATTTAACAAATCCTAGTTTGAATCAATAAAAAACGATTCAAGGAATTTATTCAAACTATTTGAATATTCGTTTCAATATTTCAGCCCTATTAGCTCTGTTAGCAACTAGTTGACCGAATTTAACCGTTAAAATCCCAGTTAACTGGTTCAAAAAATTGAAAACATTCATCATGAGAGCGAACATACCTTTATCTTTCTCCTCTTTTTTTTCTTTTTTATTCCTGAATCGGGCACCTGTTGGTTTTAGCCTTTTTATGTTCATCTCTTCTGTTTGGCTCTTGACTCAATAAGTTTCCTTTAGTCAGGACTAAACAATTTGACCTTGATGGGGGGGTGACCACAAAATCGTTTTGTTTTTCCTTTTTTTATTCGGCCATTTCACACAATTCAGAAACACCTGAAAGAATGATAGGCCTGTGTTTATGATATTATGAATGAAATATGGAAGAACATCAAGATGTGATCGACTTTAGCCATGTTGATACAGTTGATTCAGCCCCTACCCGCTCATTTCATTTGGACCCACCCAGAGGTGAATTCCCCCGCCGCACCCCTCCCCTTCCTCTTCTTCATACACACACGGTGCACGGAGCGCCTGCAGCTGCAGGGGGCGCCAACTTGCTGTTTCCAATCCAGACACTGTCATATGACAGATAATAGAAAACCTCAGTGCGGCGCAGATTTCCTTTTTTTTTTTTTTTTTACTCAGCACTTGTGCGCCCCTTTTGTGTCATGAAAAAATGCCGCCCCGGGCAACTGCCCTGTCTGCCTGTGCCTAAAACCGCTACTGCTCTGAAGTGCCTTTTTTTTTTCCTCCACCTGAACCAACCCTCATGTTACCCTCTTATCTCTATTAAGGTAGCGCGACTCAGGGTTGCGAATGACCACAGTCACCAATTCTTGTCATGTGTCTTGCCCATGTATGTCTGATCTCTGAATTGTGTGTACTGAAACTCTAATTTCCCTCTGGGATTAATAAAGTATCTTTGAATTTGAACTGAATTTGAATTAAAAGAATGAAGATTGTGAATGCAAGCAGCCAAAATGAGTTTCATTCGTATGGTGGTGGTTGGGTCATTTGTAGGATTAAGTTGAGGAGCTCAGACATCCAGGGGAGACTCCATTGAAAGAGGAGCTAGGTCAGGTTCAGGAAGCTTCCCGGGTCATTTAGATCCCAGGAGCTGGTAAAACGAGCTGTTTGGGTTTCATGCTGCTCTTCTGTCCAACCATTACATAACCTAGGAGTCACATCTGACTCTGCAGTGTCCTTTGAACAGCACTGTAATAAATTCATTTAAAACATATTCTTTCCACTCTGGAACATCTTGAAATTAAAACCTTTCATTTTCAAGTCTGGAAATGGTCATCCATGCTTTTGTTTAATCGTGCATGGACTACTGTTAACTTAGCTGGTCTAAACCTCAAGCAACAAAACCACTTAACTGTTGTGCAAAACTCCGTTATCTATTCCCACATTACTCCTGTCCTGGCCTCGCTCCACTGGCTTCCTGTGATTTTTAGAGTACATTTTAAAATGTTTAACTTTCAAAGCCTTACATGGTCAAGCACCCTCATATATAACTGATTTGTGCAAATCCACACTCCCGAACGTTGCCCGAGATCAGAAATAAATGACTCTGCTGTCTTATCCATTTTGTTGTATAATCTGAGAACCCGCTAGAAAATGAGATGACACATCTCAAGTGGTTTCTATCCTCACAAAATATAAGTTAAATAAATAAATAAGGTCAGACGCTCCTGGTGGTCCTAAAAACTCGCCTAAGTCCTGTGGTGTTGGCTCCTTTAGAGTTCCACGGCTGTGGAACACGTCCTCTCTCTCTTCGTTGTTTGTTGCGTGTTTAAAAACGTTTAAATACCTGGATTTTTAAACTTGCATTTATTTTTTGTCTTATTCTCATGTTTTTGTTCATTATTTTACTGTGAAGCACCTTGTGAACTTTATCTGTGAAAGGTGCTAAAAAATAAAGGTTACTGAGTCCTTCATCGAATTTTCATAATTATTTACCAACAAAAATTCAAGGTTGCACATGTTTTTGAACAGTCAAAGCCACTGATGGATAAAAGGTAAATATAAATTCAACCCACACTCTTTTTGTCAGAATTGATTTAAATAATGACAAAAACAGAAGAAAACACTGCTCATCTGTATGAAGGTGCTAGTTAAAGCGTTGAGTATAATAAAGAAAACATACGCAAAAACTGATTATTTAAAAGCTGGGCAATATGGGCTAAAATTAATATCACGATATATTGAGGATTTCACCTTGATAACGATAACTGGACAACTACTACAGGTATGTGCAGAAACAAAAGTTGTCCACTAGATGGAGCTGTCACGTGTATCACGTGACTCAAGGTGGCGGCTTCTTAAAGGGACATGAACGCTTTCAACCTACACACTTCTTTTCATTTTTTTTATTATCAAATTTATTGACATGGGAGGTAGGGGTGGGTAATATAAACAACATAAGGTAGAAACAATATAAAATTGGGTAATGATAAGTTTTTGGCTCTACCGCGATAAGACATGATGTCACTAAGATGTGCACACGCACCGACATGGGAACAACAGAATGGCGGTGACTGCAAGCATGTAGCGGGAGGAGCAGCATTCTACACTTTTTGGACATCTTTATTCTGCTGCAGTATATTTTCCATATGAGGATTTTTTAAAGCATGTAATTTTGACAAATATAAACAAAGGACAAATATATCGCAGTATATATCATAATCGTACATGCTTGAGATACATCGCAATATAGATTTGAGGCCATATCGCCCTGCAGCCCTAATGGAATAATTATCACAAGAGTCAGTAATTTCGATAAGGATACATTTTCTATGTATTGCCCCGCCTTATTTAAAGCTTTCAGTCAGATCACTCCTGATGAAGGTCTCTGACCAAAAGCTTAATCTTTAAATAAGAATTTTTTGCATACAGACGTGTGTTGATTGTTTCCTTGTTATAATAATGACAAAATTAAATGTCTTGTCTTAAATTATTTTTTCCTGTTATTCTTTTGTTTACATTTTCAACGATGTAATTTTGTTTAGTGTCTTTTTTTACGTTTGTCTATTAGGACCCGTGTATTTTATACATGAACATCACTCACATTCACCCTGATACTGAAAAAAAACAACAGCATTTTGTCACCATGTCTTTATATTGCTTTTACAGTAACTTTAAAAACACAACAGAAACATTATATTTAAATTACATCATTATCTTAAATAAAACCATATCCTTGTCTTGTGTATATTTATCAGATACAAATATAGTTTAGCACATTCACTTTCCTTTACAGACAGTTTTATAATCTTGGAGCTCAGACGATAATACTTGATGCTCTTGTGTGAGGTATCATCTACTATGGCCTTCTGTATTTGTGTCCAAATCAATAAAGACAGAAAAAGAAAACAAATATAATAAAAACAGCTACAAAACATTTCAAATGAGTGCCAGAAAACCATCATCAAGTAGCGCAAACATGAGCAGAAATCTCCTGATAACCTAAACATCAAACGACAGCTCAAATGCAACTAAATAGCCAAAAGATTTAGGAATAAAACAGACTTTCTACAATTCATTTTTAATAAAAAAAATAAAAATAAAACTTACCACTGAACCATAAACCCAAAAATAAATGAGAAATTAAGTTTAATCCTAGAAACGCTTCTGTTTCCAGGAGTATGCCAGACGACCTGTCAGCACGTGGACAACTACAACAGCTTTTTAAAATAATTTTAGCTAAACAAGTAAACAATTCAATTGTTTCTCATATTACTGAGCAGACGCTAACAAAGCTGAAATAATCTGAATTTTCTTGTGATGTCAGACTGAACGGATTACTGGGATTTCTTTGGAAATAAAGGCAAAATAACTGGACAGTTTTTATTCATTTGTATGAAAAATATGGATAATTAAATCATGTGACAGGCTTATGACAAAATAGCGGGAAAAAAAGAAAGCTTCTTGCTTTATTGCCCCCTTGTGGATGAAAACCATCCTGCACCCTACATGATGGATTCCTTCTGAACTTTGGCTCCATAAAAACGAGTGGAGACTCCACAGCGGGTCTGAAGGCACCAAGCCAAGCATCGAGAGACGATCTCCAGAAATATAATTACATTTAAAAGAAATTCATGTGAGAATGTGATCATTTGACTTGTTCTGAGAAACAAAAACAGCCTGAAATAATTAGAAAAGTTCAAATGTTCTTGGGTTTGCCAAGTTATCTTCAGGACCTCGTTTAACCGGTTTAATGGAATGATACTTCGACCAGCGCTAGTTGGATTCATTATTCGTGAGGGTCAGGAGAAAAGTCTGGGAACGTTGATCTAAAACGTGATTGTGTACATAACTCTTAATAATCCAAAGCTGCTGTGAAAAAATAACTAATTTTAAATATAAACACAATAAAAAACAAATGTCACCATGTGCATAAAACAAACCAGACCAGAAAACACCCGCAGGAAACTTTCAGACTCACAACTGTCTGGATTTTTATCTGTTGTTCACTCTGACCCCCCAGCGTCACCCTTCCTACAACAACTGCCCTCCGCCTCTCAGTGCCTCTTCATGATGTTCCTCCGGTCGGCGCTGTCCATGGCAGCCATGTTTTGCGAGGCAGTGATGAGGTGCAGGACACTGATGCTGGACTTCAGCAGGCAGATGATGGCACAGATACCCTGCAGCAAGTAGAGCCAGGCTGCAACACACACACACACACACACACTTACACACCTATGCCACTATCAAAATGGCACACGCTTTTATTTCAGGGTTTCCAACAAATAGGAACAAAGGAAAACTGGTTTTAGGTTAAAAGTAAGAGAAACTCAACCTTCTTTTTGCTCTTGTGTTCCGTTTCTGAATGTGCCCTTTCTGCTTTCCATACATGGAATCTGACCCACAATCAGATTCCATACATGGCAAGAACATGGGAGGATGAGTGCATTTGGGTCAAACTGGAGCTTTATTTTTAGCTGCTTCATAATACTAATAAAAAAAACTAGACTGTTTTACTCTGGAAAACCATGCTCAGAAGGCCTCATCTTTAAGTCGCTGCCTTTATTAAATCAGCTCATTCTACCCTGAGCTCTTCACTGTAACAGAATGAAACGACTGTTTTCCTCTCCTCTGACACAGGACTAGTCTGCATGAGATAGCCTCATGCATTTGCTTCTTTCCAGCCCAACAGAAGAATGAAGAATGAACTCTTTTCTTTTAATTAATCAAATAACTCTATTTTAATAAGCTAATCCAACCAAATGTTAGTCAATAATAAGATGTAACCAATCTGTGAAATCAAAATATTAATTACTTTATTATAATCCTATAGAATATAAGTTATATGACTTTAAATGTTCCACTAGGACTGATCTCACGTAGCGTTAAAAGACATGACACATTACTTTCACTGATCCAATCAGAATCTGCCAGATCTGACGGAGGCGTGGTTTTGGTGGTGTTTGGTAAATCTGTCAACTTTTCATTCGACCATGAACCAAAACATCCGAAGTATAAAACTATGCCCACGCCATCTTTAACGCCAGTTCAAAGCGTTCTAGAGATGTTGTCGGAGTGGCTATACCGTAATTTTCCTCTTCAGCCGAAAGAACCAACGATAAGCTGGATAAAATCTGTTGCTGTTCCACCTGCTGCAACGGTTCCTTTCAGAATAAAAGCTGAACCATCACCACCCAGGTTTGGGTCTCACCAGATACCAGTAAAATTGTCGTGACCCGGGAGTATCTCAAGACTGGTCTGGTCGGCAACCGCTGCTTTTCCTACCGGCTTCGGTTCCAGAGAAGGTCAAGCTAGACCTCAACATTCCTGATCTAGACGGGGACTTCCGCTCAGGGTATGTAGACCGACAAATGGCGTTGAATGTGTTTATGAACCTCCTAATCAACGCTTAACGTGAAGACATCACCTTCAGTTTCCATCAGAACTAATCGCTTCTTCGGATTTGCTGGTTCTGAACAACATTCCACATCACACCATTCTCCGTCTCATCCACTTTAGTTACACCATACATTTAGTGTTAAAGTTAGTCTAGTTTAATTTGTTTAGTAATAAATCTTTTAACTTTTAACTTGACTCTCTCTCTTCTTTGTCTGAGTGAATATGAAGCTGTTATCTAATCCCTGCATTAAAAAGTTCCAATCTTCTGGTTTAAATAACCTCACAGATCCATAAGGTGGATTTCATATTTACTATGGAATCTTTTGTCTTATGGCTTATTAAATAACATGTCATTTAAATCATTACAACATAAACAAAAACTTGGGACCAAGAGTCAGTGAATCTAGGTGAAGCTAAACCAGGCTGCTTTTGATGCACCTCGACGCATCACATAAACCAGGGGAGTCAAACTCAAAACTCACACTGGAGCTGAAATGAAAATCTGGGACAGAGTCGAGGGCCAAACTTCATATTGTTTGAAAAAGTGACGCAAATTAGCACATTTTCTTTATCAACATATATGCAATTTTGAACTTTTTAATTTGGAAACCAACCTATTTCTGCATTAACACTGAATGTGGAATAACCAAATTACACACGAGCAAGTCAGTTTTAAATAAAACGCATCAGTGATATATTCATTACTTGTGGTATAATCAGCATTTTTATAATCTATTCAGGATTTATGTTTTCTTGTTGTTTATTCATTTTTCTTATTTTTTATTCTCCTTTTTTCTCCTGTAATACGTGTCATCGCTGCTGTGACGTCTAGCTTTCCCCACTGAGGAACAATAAAGGGCTTTTCTATTCTATTCATCTATCTGCAGCCTTTCCACTTCCTGTTCGCTGTAGGTTAAATCTTTGCTCACGGGCCAACAACAAAATAAAAATATCATTTTATCTTAAATGAAAATGCAACATCTCACCTGTTAACTTTCATGTTTTGGAGCAGAAAAAGAGCATAAAACCAACATATTTAAAGCTCAGTTTGCTCCACTGGTTTACTGTGATGCTCACCTGTTCCAGCCAGATACCTGCATCATGGGGTTGATCTGAGCTGAGGAGGACACTCCTGTTGTTTTGTTCATCTTCATCATAATGACAACATTAGATGACAACAGGTGCTCACATAGGTTTGTCTGGTTTGAGCGTGTCGCTGCTCTCTGGAGTTATATCAGCTCTGTCTGGAAGTTAGTTGGAAAACTTTCTCTTTCAGTCGTGAACACATTACTGAGCGGTTAAAATCTCTCTTTCTAGCCTTCAACATCGACAAATAGCGGAGTAAACTCGGCACTGAGTGAGAGGAGTGTTTAGTTTGTCCGAGACAGCGGAGCTGCAGACACCGGCAGCAGACGCTGGAAAAAACACAAAGGAGGGGGCGCTTTGGCTCCACGCTAACGCCGCAAAGCATCATGGGAGTTGTAGTCTTTGCAGTAAAATCGGCCAGCGGGTCAGTTTTAATATATTTTTGATATTTATCTCGCGGGCCACATAAAAATACTCCGCGGGCCTTGTGTCTGACACGTGGCATAAATCAAAGAACAAACTGGGTGTAAACATGGAAGAGTTTGATCATGTAGGAAGGTCCATTTAGATCCTAGACTGAATAATCCAGCTGTCTCTCTAGGACGAACAGGACGAACACGATCAGCATTTACCAGCAGGGTTCTCGATGTGATAAAGTATGTAGAGCAGACAGAAGAAGAGCTCGTTCCCGGCACACATCACAAACAGCACCGGCTGCATGAAAAAAAAAACACATTCAGGTTCTCTTCAGTTACACACAAACCACATTTCCCTCAAAACATCCCGTCTCTGTCCTGACCTTCGACGTGTAGTACAGCCGGAGGATGGGGTTTCCAGACAGGTCGATGGTCTTGTGACTCGCTGAGCCCTTTATGGTGCAGCTGAGGAAGATAACGGAAAAGCAACATAAATCCATAATATCAGCAAGTCTTGACTAGGGCCTGACCGATATGCTTTTTTGGGACCGATACCGATGTAAAACTTTTAACAAAGGCCGATAAATCTCCTTCACAAAAAAATAAGAAATAAAAATGTTCATAAGCTTAAACCCTTCATTCTCTGCCTTTTTGATGCTAACTTATTTCTCTTACACACCAAAGAACTGTCTCAATAACTCACTCAGGTTTCCAAGTAATGCAAATAAGATTTATTTAGCAGATCTCACAAACAACAGAACACACAAACTCAGTCACAGCATAAATCTAACATTCAAGTTTTCTCTTGTAAACTGTGGTTTCCACAAATACGTTTTAACTTAAAGGAAAATTCCACCACTCAGTAAAACTGTGTCTTGTTAAGATTCCCCAGTTAGACAAGTCAGAAAAAGCATTTTATAACCAGCCCAATATGATCTGGCAGCAGTTGGTTTTCTAGTTTAGCATAAAACACTATAAGTGAATTCACACACATTGTAGTGTTTTTTATAAATAAATATATATATATATATATATATATATATATAGATATATATTATAAATATCGTAAATTTATCGTTATTGGGATATCAGCATGCACAATATGCATATCGATTAGAACAGATAAATATCGCAATGAACAGTCAGCTCAAATGTTTGCTACACATAATGCATTCTGTCAATCGAATGGAAGAATGATGTTTTTTTAACAAAACAAATAGAGCTCTTCACCCATTTGGCCAATCGGGTGGGTTCTCATAGGTTAGACGCCCGCCCCCGAGGCAGACGGCACTTCATTTAGATGGTTAGCAAACACCTGAGTTAGCTTCGTTAGCTCTTTCTGCTGATTCTGCTTTTCCCTGAAACCACTGATTGCCTTTTCTTGTTCGTTTTCTTTTTCCTTTTCCTCACATCTTTTGCATTTCTCATTTTTACGATTTTTTATTTCTTTGCTTTATTTTTGTTCCTGACTTAAGTTTTTATTTATCGCAAGTAATATCGTCATCGCAATATTAATCATTGTTATCGAATATTGCAGGTTTTCCTAATATCGTGCAGCCCCATGAGAAACATAAATAAGAATAATTAAAAAAAAAAGAAAAAGTTCCAAAACAATAATTTGTGTTCAAAGTTCAAAGGAGTGGAGCCACACAACATGAGTTCATAAAGCTGGCGCCATCTGCTGGATAGGTAGCGCAATATCGGCCGTCTTTTTGGCCAATAGCTGATACTGTTAATGACCCCAATATCGGCCGATAATATCGGCCGGCCGATATATCGGTCGGGCCCTAGTCTAAACAAAACCCAGAGACAGGTAACAGGTGTTACCTGATAGGGAGGAATAAAGAAAACATTTGTTTTTGTTTAATGGCTCAGAGAAAGTGATTCTCACCTGTGCAGGTGCAGCCAGTGGCTGGCAATGTCCAGACACATACTGAGCTGGAACAGGAAGGTGTAGGAAGGGTAGAGCAGAGACAGGTTGACCAGCAGACACATGGTGGCACAGCGGTCCGTCAGCATGTCCATCATGGCTCCAAATTTTGTGGCTGAAAGGAAGAGAGTCAGCAGCCTGTCAGGTCATACAGAGGGAATAGCATACCCTTACCCTTCGCTAAGGAATATATTTAAATAACAACAAATGCAGTCTTTAAAGCCTGCAGCACATTGAGCAAATGGCCTCTAATGACCATTTGCTCAGCAGATACCTCGCTGTGTGCACCTGATTTAGACTGAGATGGCAAACCCGTATGTCAGAAAATAAATAAAACGGAGACAGCTGGACACGGAGGAAATGCCTCTACTGTTTTTGTTGACGAGGCGTCGCCGCCACCGGCATTTCAAGGTTAGGAAAGTATGGGTATTTGGGCCGGAAAGAAGGGCCAGGCAGCCAACCTGCTCCACAAGATGCGCCTTGAAAACCCAGAATCCCTCAGACAGTACCGCCGCCTGGATCCTGAATCCTTCGAGAGGGCAGTGGGCTCATCAATCCGCAAGGTACCGTTTTGTTTATTTTTCTGACACGCAGACAGGGCAGGGGGCTGCATCTGAATACATCTTGGAATCATGTGAGCAGGAAACGCGCTTTGATTGGCTCAGGTAGTGCACAGCAAGTTTTTACTCCCCGTGAGGCGGAAAATATCAAACCGATCAGATATTCACCTCAGCATCTCATAAGGCAGAAAAGTCAAACACTGAAAATCAGGCGCACGCAGCGAGGTATCTGCTGAGTAAATGGTCGTTCCAGGTCGTTTGCTCAGCAGCTTGCTCTGGTGTGCGGCAGGCTTAAGGCCACTGCAGGGGCAGGAGACTCATTTGAAACAATAATATGACTAAAAAGAAGACGACGTGATGGAATCAAGGGAAATAACTGACAGCTGTTTTGTCTGCATTTGTCCAAAAACATGAGCAACACCTCCGCTGTCACCACGTTACCATATTTCCCTCGTTAGTTTTTTGTTTTTGTAAAACTTGTTCTGAGAGAACATTTATCGTCACAGAGCCAGTGCAGAAGACTGAAGCGGTGTGGACCTCCATACACTGATTGAGCGCTCGTGCGGCGTGACCGTCGAAGGCATCGAGGAGAGCGCTGAGCAGGTAGAAGAAGACGGCAGGCCATGGACAGCAGGGCATCAGGAAGAAGGACACCAGTGCCAACACCACACGGGCGTAACCTGCAACAAGAGACACGTGAGAGGGTGTTTTCAGAAAAATCTGACAGCATTTATCCCTGAAAATACCAAGCAACTCCAGATGGATGATATAACCCTTTAGTGTTCTCTTGCTGCCAATGACACACCCCCCCCACACACACACACACACAAGAAAGATAAAAAAGTATTACTGATTCAGTCACCAGGATTGATGGATTGAATCTACTCAAACACATTTTCCAGCTTTGATTTCAACACTAAAATCTTTCTCACTGCACATGATCTTGATCCTTATGCTTAAATAAATCCCTACAAACAAACCACACAAGACCGAGTAAATGTCATTGAAACCAATTAAAATTAGAGGAAGACAAATTATTTATTGTTCCTAAACAGTTCAAAGTCCCTGTAGGCTTTAGAGATGAGCTCGTGTAACCTCCAGGGACTCAAGATTCAGACTGATTGCTTTATTTCGACCCTTATTGACTGGGGTTTGGTGTGTCATTGCGTCAAGATGCTAATGCTAAGTTAGCGTGCTGAAAACTCACCGATTAAATTAGGAACGAAGAGGAAAATATTCTCCTGCGTCATCCTGGAACGATGAGATGTGTCCTACTCTGAACACGCCGCGAATTAATGGTTAATATCCCGGTTGTGACCGGAGAACCTCAGCGGGACAGCGCTCGGTTCTCTCGTTTCGGACGGAGCAGGAGCGACTGTGAGCATATCCGGTGCGTCCCTTCAGAATAAAAGCACGATGTTAACGTTACATGAGTTAGTCCATTTGAAGCGGCGTGTAATTGTAGACCTCGCAATCCATCCTATTGGTAATTGAATTGCTCTCTGAGACAAGTCCCCATGTTGTATCTGTCCAGGACAAATATATGATGGCATGTTCATTCTTCTCACTGTAAGGCTAGAACTAGATCTTGTTCATAGGACAAGATTTGTGATTTTTTTTTACTTCTTTGGGGGCGTGGCCAGGATACTGAGGTGGGCATTCCAAAGACCATCAAGTTTTGCAAAAATTAGTTGTCAGCACAATTAGTCTGGCAGAGTATCCATTTTGAGGTTAATTAGTATGATGCAAAGTCCCCAGTGTGCTTTGATGAAAATAAGGTCCCCAGTGGGGGTTTGTTGTTGAACTTGAAAGGGTGTCGACCTATAAGTATTTGTGCTTGTGGCTAGACCAGAGGTTGACTAGCAGCTTGCCTATTTGGGGCCTGGTGTCTAAGTATGGTTGGCTGGTGTTCCAGGTGGATAGGGGAACCTTGCTGATGGTGTATAGTGAACAGGTCAACCTTGGACTGTGGGTGGTTTTTATGTGGTTCAGCATCTCCTACAAACCTGAGGCTGCTGGATGTCATCCAGATGGCGAGTTGACGGTCTGCAGTGGGGCGTTTCAGGCGACTACAGAGTCAGCTCTTACTGTCAAAATGAGCAAAATGCTTTAGGAGATTTGTTGGGTTAAGCTGGGGCTTAGTTATCTGATGAAGGTAAGGGGTATGGGTGAGTCTTCCCTAGCATTTGCCCTGTTGGACCAACATCAGGAGTTTGACAGAAGAGGCCGTGAGAGTCGGGGTGCATTTGCTGATTGGCTGAGATGGAGGACGGAGGAGTTGGGCTTCCTCGAGTGACTCGTGAGTTCCCAATTGGTCAACTGGAGCGTATGCTGGTGTGCTCCGTCGTCTGCTCTGACTTGATGGCAACATTGATGGCGCTGTCAGGAACGTGCTGTAGGCCTAGGCCCCACCTGCTAGCTAGTCAGGTTGTTGCTGCACAAACTGGGGACTTTGGGGCGTGAACTCTGTATTGTTTGGGTTCCTGACCATGTGGGGTTGGGGGGCAACGAAGGGGCAGATGCTGTGGATAAAGTGCTCTGTGGAGGCATGTGAGGATTGCTGTAAAGACACTGACACCAGTCAGTGACTCAATGACATCTGCTGGTTTCCTTATATGGGAAACTTTTTACTAATTGGCTTAATGAACTGACCTGTATTGGAATGTTTACTTTGTGAAGTGTCTTGAGACGACTCCTGTCATGATTTGGCGCTTTATAAATAAGCTGAATAGAATTCAATTGAATTCTGATGGGAATGGTTATAGGAGCATTTCCAGAATGCTGAATGTTCCTGTGAGCACTGTGGGGCCATCATTTGGAAAGTGAAAGAGCATCAGGCATCTCCCTAGCGGAGTCTCATGTAGTGAACTGTGATGTTCGTGCTTATATGTTTGAGGCGTTTTTTTTTTTTTTTCATAGTAAAACTACGCCCTGCCGGGAGTAACTCTGGTATGCCTTTTTTTCCCTCCCCCAATTTATCCTCATGCAATTCCCTTTTCATCTATTAAGGTGGCGCGACTCGTGTTGCGAAGGACCACAGTCACCAATTCTTGTCATGTGTCTTGCCCATGTATGTCTGATCTCTGAATTGTGTGTACTGAATTTCAAATGAGAAGTCTGGGCTGAGTTTCAAACTTTTGTTAGTATTGTTCAGATCTGAATGGAATTGAAGTAGTTCTGATTCTGACCCAGACCACAGCAGAATAATGTCATCAATGTATCTTCCCCACCACATCATCTTATCAGCATAGACATTACGATCAGAGTATACATATGTTTCTTCCCAAAGTCCCATAGACAGAAACATGCTCCCATTGCTGTAGCTTTTTCTGTCTATAAAATTGGTTCTGAAACAGAAACACATTGTTACATAGAGTCCACTTCTCCAGCTGAAGGATGAAAGAAGAAGGAGGCATATCTTCCGAATGTCTTTGGTCCAGGTAATAGGTTAGTGCTTTTGGTCCTTCTGTGTGGTCAGTGTTAGTGTACAGCGCCTCCACATCCATAGTAAAAGGAAGTCCAGGTCCTATGTTCCTTATATTATTCAGTTTGTTCAGTACTTGTGTATCTTGAACAAAAGAAGGAAGTTCTGAAACAAATGGTTTAATGAAAAAATCTACAAACTGTGAGGCTGGCTCTGTGATTGATTCATTACCACTAATTACCACTACCACACTTTTAGTAAGAGACTATATATATATATATATATATATATATATATATATATATATATATATATATATATATATATATACACACACACAAACTGGAGTCTTTTTCGGACTACTTTTCAATATATTAAAGTAAAGCTGCTAGTCATTGGCTTTTCTACCCTCCTCTGGCGTGGTGCACAAGTCTCCTATCAAACACCACATTAATAATAGTGCTTGTGTCAGTGGTCTTCCAAAAAGCCAAACACACAAAACAGAACATGCAAGAGTCTCTCACTAAAAGTGAGCCTCCTCCTTTTGTTTCTGGTTTCATGGTGAAGATCTTAGGTTAGTGGATTTTGCTGAGTGGTGAACCAAAAGGCTCTGAAACAAATGCTGTGATTCTACAACAAGAGGATACCAGCAAAGAACTATACTCAAAGCTTATAATAAGAATAAAAGCCTGCCAAGAGAACAACTATTGGTTCCTAAAGAGAAGAACCAACAAAGATCAGATGGTGTTTATTTTTTGACCCAATTCAGTGATCAAGCCAACAAGATCAAAAAAATAATTACAAAAAACTGGGACGTACTGAAAAGTGACAGTGTTCTTAGGGAAGCTCTCCCAGATACTCCTACTATCAGCTTCAGACGAGCCCCAACATTAAATGATCAACTTGTTCAAAGTCACCTTCCTCCAAAGCAACAAAAAACTTGGTTATCAACTTGAAAAGGCAACTATAAATGTGGAAATTGTGTTCACTGCGACAACATGACTAATACTAACTGTTTTGCCGATGTTTTCACAGGACGTACTTTTTACATTAATACATTCATCAACTGTAACACTTCGTTCGTGGTCTACAGACTAGAACTAGATGTGGTTGCTTCTATACTGGGAGAACTAAACGTAAGTTAAAAACAAGACTTGCAGAACACAAACAAGCAATCACATCTGGTAATCCTCTATATCCTATGGCAGTGCATTCTAAAGACACAAATCATAGAAGCTGTAACTCTCTTAAAATCACAGGGATTGAACAAATAAAACATTCTATTAGAGGAGATGGGCTTAGAAAACTCTTGCAGAGAGAATCATTTTGGATTTATACACTAAAAGCTACTAATTTCCCAGGTCTTAATGGAGAATTACATTTTGCTCCTTACAAGAGAAACCTTACACACACAAGCACACAGGTGCTCTCTCAAGTATGGACTTGGGCATATTTAACAAATACGCTGGCTGTGGTTGGCACTAAATACACTATGAATTATTACCGTGTGCTTTTCAGAAAAAAATGTTACTGTTATTGTACCCTCATGCGGTTGGTGCAGTGATATTTTTGGTTCTGTTGTGTTGTTGTGTGTCCCCTTTTTTTTTTTACTTTTTCTGCAGGTCTAGAAGCAGATTCTTCTACATCCTTCATTGTTTATTTTTGTGATTTTTTTTCTTTCTTCCCCCACCTCTTCCTTTCATCTCCACCATTTCCCTTTCATTTCTGTCTCCGTGTCCGTTGGGATTTATAACAACCGAAATATATATCTAATAAAGTTTTGGTATCAGGCGTGGCAGTATAGCTGAAGCAGTACAGCTCCACCTGTAAGGCCCATCTTCGGCACTCAGACATCTACTCTGACTTACAGCCAGACAGGACATGAAAAAAAGACGTCACTGCTTCACACAACCATCCTGTTTAGCAATGTTACATGAATAAGGTTCTCTGTGTTTTTAGCTCAATAAGAGAAACAAATGTTAGAGCGAGTTCCCTCGTTGCAAACGCCCAACGCCATAGCTTTTTGTTTTGAAAGGATTTAAAGGAAGCGTTTTCCCTACATTGCAGTTTTGTAAATGTAGTTCCCTCTTCTCCTCAATCATATCAACATTCCCAAGAGCACAAAAACAAAGATTTGAAAAATTTCCATCTGAACTGAAATGAGGCTGAAATAGTTTCCCTCCAAATTAATAGTTTACCAGAACCAGAATGTAGTTCCAGCTTGTTACCACTGGAGGGCATCAATTCCCCTCATGTTGAGGTGTTGTAGCTAGCTGGGTTTAGCACTTTGACTCCACACAACCAGCATGTTTATCACTTACGTAAACAATGAAGTAATTGTGTCCTGGTGGAAAATGAAATCAGCATCTCCATAAAGTTTTTCAGCAGGAAGTATGAAGTGCTCCTGGTAGATGTCTGACGGTGGACTTCCCATCAGCAGATAACATGACCCCCACCCAGGTAAGATGCTTCTGACGTCTATTTTGTTGGACAGGAATTCAAGGAAACGTCCTTTATAATAAAAACAAACTCACATATGTTTTTGTTTTTATTTTATTTCTCCAAAAGTATTTTGTTACATTTCTGTACAACTCCTTTTCCAACATTTCGCCATTTTGCACTGAACATTTCAAACTCCTGCATCAACTCCCATCATCCTCACAATCACTCCTGCCAGGAGTTTCACACCTGCTGGCCACAAACATCACAACCGTCACAAGGGGAGGTCTCGTTTTTTTTTAAAAGAGAAACTGCACCAGGAAGTGTTTTAATAAATCTATAAAAACATGACTTTAGTTTTCATTGTTTTTAGCTACAAAAAAAAAATCAAGTTGTGATGTTTAAAGTGCTTACAAAAGATCAGTAACATTAAATAATTAGGCTTAAAATTTGTTTAAAATCAGCAGACACACAATGAATACTGGGACAAAAACCCCTCTTTCCTAATATGCTGAATAGTCAATTGTTTTACCAGATAACAGGAAAGAAAAAAATGTTTACAAAATGTGGTTCAGGGAGAAAAAAACCCTAAATCTTTTAGTCGTTCTGTAGGAGACGTAGTGATTTTATCTTCCTGGTGCAGCTTTACTGAAATAAAGTCACATTTATGGAATGGTTGGCATTTCAAAATAAAGTTGGCAAAGTGAAATCTCATAGTTTGAAACTTTTAAAGCACATTTTATCTATCGAAGGCCAGCAGATTCTCATCCAACCTTTCCACAAACAGCATCTTTTCACTCATCTCCATCCTCTCTTCACATCCAACGCGTCCTTCAGTGATGTCAGCAAAAAATATCTACCCTTTTTTGAATTTTAACTCCAAACACGTCAGTTTGTACTCCTGCTCTCATTCATTGCCTGGTCAACATTTGCACAGAAAAAATGAAAAAAAAAAAAAAAAATCCAAGAAAGAAACATTTTCTTCTCTAAAATCATCTCGAACATTCTATCAGTGCAAATGAGGTAGACATGACAACTAGAGACAGCATTGATCACACGGACGCCGGCTCGCTGCAGCCGGACAAGCGAGACTGTGCAAAAATCAAACATGAGGTGTTTGTTGAAAAACACGAAGTGGAGATCTGATCCGGAGTCCCCAAGTCAAACTAAAACTCAGGAAAACAGGAAGAAATGATCACATGGACAAACTGTGTCAAATACATCAAACAAGCGTGGAGTCGACATTAAACAGAGGAACTCAAACAGACATGGTTCATGTAGACATCATTTTATCTCTTTTAGAGTATTTTCATGTTTTATTTTTTAGCAGGTTTTAGTTCTTAATTCTAAAATGTTTAGTTTTATTTTATGCCGCTTAGATTTTGCTCTGCCAGATTTGACTAAACCTACTTTGATAGAGACAGACGTCTGGTCCAATTGTACTTTGGTCATTTAGAAAACCATTCTGGCATTTCATTTTGAACTAATTCACTTATTTTGATCTTTAATGTAAACTTGAACAATTTCCCTCAAAATTAAAAGGTGCCACTACCTTACTGCATGGTCTTCACTGCAGATTTTTATCCTCCCTGAATTTAATTTAAAATGACTATTTTGTAACATTTCTCACTTTAAAGAGCATTCTAATTTAGTTTTGTTAACATTCATGTTTACTCACAACCTGCTTTGTTAAACTGACATTTTTGTAATTTGACGTTTTCTTTGGATAACTTTTGGTCTGATGACATCACGTTTATTGCTTTTTATACGACTCCATGTTCTCTTTTTAAACAAATCCTTTCACAATGACACAAGTATACTTATGAAAACAAAAGCATGCATTTAAGAGCCACAAAAACCAGTTCAGCTTGTATTCAACACAATTTACTCATATGAACTATTAATGTTTACTGATCCAACACCAGAAACTGCTTGGGCTCCATATTTTGCATTTACAGTGTCTTAAAGAATGTGACTTGAAAAATAAAATAAACACTTAAAAATAAAACATGGCACAAATGTAATAAAAGCATCTAAAACAAGCTGTTTCCCAGCTTTTAATACTGGCTCAAACTGAAGAATAAAAAATCAAAAGTAGAACGCAGCCCTGCCCAGAACCGGAGACTCCCACCCTGAGACCTCAACAGGAATGCTGGGAAAGGTAGTCCTCCTTCAAAACGTGTGAATTCTTATAGCTCTATCACAGTAATGTTGCTCTTTATCCCCACCTAGTGGTCAAAATTGGCAATAACATTTTAAAAACCTAAAATGAGCAGAACATTAATAATCCAACTGCAGCAGTAGTAATTATAACAATGGCCTCTTTTTGTCTGCATCTAGTACAAATTGGCTTAAGTCACGTGACAAAATAATCATATTACTCTAACACAGTCTTAAAGTTAGTGCTTTTATGTACAAAGTTACGTTCAATGCAAATCAAAGTTTGGACAGTGAACAATCTTCCGTTCACCTGCAGCTTTAGGCAGGTAACTAACATTTATATGCATCTCTATAAATAGGTAGTGTGCATGTTCATCTGTACAAACACCGCCTGTACGCCAGGTCCATGCACTGAACTGTACTCGTTTGTAAAGCACATCTACATCTCATCTACAGATGCAGACAACTGTGGGGTTTGGGGAAAACCTTCAGCTGTGTAAAACACACACTCCCAGACTGAATGCTCAACTCACGAACACACACACCTGCAGCATCTGGTGGAGAGTTCAGATGGGTTTTCTAGTTTTACCAGTCAGGTAGCAGGAAGCAGATCAAACGTTCCAGTCGTTGCTCTGCAACGTCTGGTCGGTGCTTGTTGCACCAAAATCCTCCAGGAACAAACAGCTTTAGGTTAAACTGGTTTGGTCACATGCACGATCGATCTCAACAGGAAGTCCATTCATTTGATAGGATCGATTTAAAACTGGCAACTCGGTTTTAAATTTAAGTTCACATCTTTGGATTCAGCCTAAAACCGAAGATGTGATGAATCTGAGCAGCTTTAAACCTAAACATGTGACAGAAGGTGGACTGCAGAATGGATTTAGGAAACAAACTTGATTAAAAGGGTAACAGCAGAACTCTGAAGTAAACTAAAAACAATTCTTGTTAGTGACAGATATTTAACCTTTTGTAAGCTAAACTAGTAAAAGTTTGAGTTAAAAACCGGCTCCGTTTACGGTCATCTGTGTACCTGTACACCTAAATATTATAAAAGAGGACACTGTTGTTGGGAACCTAAAGTAACTACAGGTCTAACCCGACCGACTGAACAGAGAAAAGATTTAAAACGGTTTGGTGAATAAAACATTCCTGCTGAATGTTCACTCAAGAATCACTAATTCCGAGGTTTTTAATCGTGTGGAAACACTAAAGTCTCTGAACAAATCAGTACAGTCTGGAGACGACGGCACAGCGAGCGTTTCCTAATAGCTGCAGCTTCTTCTGCTCAACCTCCTGACCGGAAACAGGAAACGTCAGCAGAACGTCTCCATCAGAGGGTCTGAGAGCGGCGGCGGGACCGTTTCTAATCAGCTGAACAAAACATGGCAGTGGTTTTTTTTTGCCCCCCCGCTCATACAGATTCTCCTCACTACAAATAAAAATGTGCAGCCCCTCCCACCCCGAGCCCTCCGAACGTAGGAAACACTTAGAAATCAAGAACTGGATTACATTATTTACATAGTTACAGTGGTATTTAAAGCACCGCAGGCCAAGTGGAAGCTCCACAACTGTCGCTTGTAGCTCAGTTCAACACAAACCTAAAACAGATAAAAAAACAAGTTTTAAACATCAACAACATCCAGACACCTGCAGCTTCGAATCACCAACAGTTAAACCATCAATACTGTGCAATTCAGCGTGTTACAAAACCACCAGCTCTTCTTCTAGTTTCTGATATCTGCTTCTGTGCAACTCCGAGTTTACAACCCAGAGACTCAAAGGCATCTGAAGCTCCCTGCACGCTTCAGCTAAATTTACATGTTTGAGTGTACTTCGGGGGGGGGGGGGGGGGGGGGGGGCGACGACTGAGGAGGAGCCTGTCGCCATCTAGAAGCTCAACGGCCAGCGGGGGAGTAGTCCGGTTTCAGGAATAGGATAGGTGAGATCCGTTGGAGATGTGGGAAGTGACCGATGTGCTGCGGCTGAGCCCGCCATCACTCCCTCCACCTCCCCCAGAGGCAGTCCTCCTCAGTGGCTGGGGGCTGTTTCTGAGGGCCATCAGGCCAGGGCCTCGTACGCTCAGACTGAGGCCCCCACCTCCGTAGCCCCCCTGTGATGATGAGGACGAAGAGGCGGAGGAGGGAGGAGAGGAGGCTGAGAGGGAGATGGGAGGAGGCTGAGATGGGGGAGGCAAGAGAGCCAAGGACTGGGAGGAGGCGTGAGAGGAGAGGTGGTGAAGGCCCTGGGAGTGGTGGGAGTAGTGTCCACCTCCTCCCACCCACTCACGGGGCCGCTCGCGTTCCCTGGAGTCACGGTCGTCGCGGTATAGCTGCGGCGTGCTCTGGTGGTGCTGGTAGTGCTGCTGGAGGTGGGAGGAGGAGGAAGAGGAGGAGGAGATGGAATGACCTCTGCTGCCTTTGTTCATCTCGCTGTCCCTGCCAAGAGCGCAGTGGGTGGCCACCGAATCGGCCCGGGCAAAACTTCCACTGCTGTTGTTCTGACTGCGCCAGGACGGAGCCGCCACCGAGTTCTGCACGCTGTGGCTCCAGTGGCTGCCGGAGCGTGGGACGGGCCGGGAGGGCCAGCCACCAGAACCTGAGGAGGGGCTGGGGGTCGGGTAACCCTGGTTGAAGGCCTCGGCTGGGATGCCGGTCAGCGCCATGTTGCTGAAGCCCAATCGCATGCTCTCCGTGTCGAAGGCCTCGATCTCATGAGCCTGGTTCTCCAGAAGAGCCCGGATCCGCTCTGAGCGTTCCGTCTGCACAAACAGCAACTCCTCCTCGATCTGACACAAACAAACCATTCACATCGTTATGGTCTTAGTGACAACACAAAGGTCTGTGGTGTTCAAAACAGCCACAAGTTAAGTGGTTCTCAAAATAAAGACTTTAAAAAGTCCCTCTGAGCTCTACAGAGCCATGAAGAGTTAATGACGACGTAGAAGGAAACCAAAACTAACCCACTTTCATTCTTCACAGGAACATAAAGAAACAGTTTACTGGGGAGGACCACCTGGTCCCTCGTCATGTGACTAAAACCCTGGTCATGTGACTCTCAGCAGCAGGACAAACGGAGCTTTACGACTAATAACAGACTTTTTAATTAGAAAAGTAGAGAAATTTAGCACCAAAACAAACAAAAAAAACCCCCAACCCTAACCTACTGAAGGTAACTGATCGGTACTAAAGAGGTACAGACTTCCAGTACCCTGTTCCATGGCAGAAGGGCCCGCTGGATCCCAGTGTCAGAGCAGGGCTCTCCCCAGGCTCTGTCCTTTCCTTCCTTTATCATCACCTTTCTCAGGATCCACTGATTTCCTTCTTTCCTATTCACTCTCCCTTTCTTTACAATTTTTAATCACAACTGTCTATTTTTGCTTCTTTTAAACATATTTATAATCATTTTCTAAATTCTTTTCTATATTTTTAGTTTTTGTGAAGCGCCTCGTGATTTTTATCTTGAGAGGCGCTATAGTAAAGACCATTTCTTCTGATCATTTATCTAGCATCGATTAATAGGGTCTGCCTGTGGATGCGCGCAAGGCTTGCTTGCCTCTCCTCGTTTCGCTTAAGCCGGGCGTACACTGTGCGACTTTTTCACTTTTTTGAGCCGATTTTCCACTCATGCGAGAATCCACGAGATCGGGGCGAGTTTTGCGCCGAGCGGTCGTGTAGTGTACAGGGGGTTACGAGAGGCGATTAACACCACGTGACCAGCTGCCGATCAGCAATTGTGAGGTCGCACGGACTTCTGGCGTGTTTAATATTTTGCTCGTCCCTCGTGAGGGTATCGCTGCGAGCAGCTGCGACCCAAAATGTATCAGAACCACTCACGGCACATGCGCAATCCTGCATCAACGCCGCTCGCTATTTCCCTAATAACACACGTTGTTCGTTTTTGTTTCTACACATTTTTTTTACACTCAAAGATTGTCAAGAAAGCGTGTTTGTCATGTTCATGTCAAATTAAACTGATCACAAAACACAGATTTACTTTCTTTATTTCGTTTTCCTCATCCAACCCCCATAAATCCCTGTGTGTCCTCCTGCAGCACTCCCGAAGGACAACAGGCAAGACAAAAAAGTCTGACGTGTTGAGTAAAAACGGCTATTTTTAGCATATTTTTAGGGCCGACGTGTTGCTACCAGACGTACAGTGTGAGCAGTCAGGTCGCAACCGAGAACTGGGTCGTGCAGTGTGAGCACATGACTCGTGAGATCTGCTCTGCGAGGAAGTCGTACAGTTTGAGCTGAAGCTGAGTGCTACGAGTGAAAAAGTCGCACCGTGTACGCCCGGCTTTAGAGAGGATTACATCCACCTGAGCATCGTTGGGGTGGTCGTCCCTGGCTTTTTATCTTTTCACACAACTATTAACAAAGGTAAACGACCTGTATCTGTATACTGTAGAACTACGGTGTAAACTGATCCGGGTCAGGAGTCGTACCCTCTGCTCCAGCAGCGCTCGGCGGATGGACACCCTCTGCTCCAGCTCCTTCACCTCCCGCTCGTGTTGTGCGTCTGTGTGGATCTTAATTTTACTTTGGTAGGCATTGAGAAGCTCCAGCTCCTGCTGCAGCTGCATCCTCAGCACCTGATACTCGGCTTCCTGAGTCTCATCCAGCCGGAGCTGCAGCAAAACACCGACATCAGATCAGAGAGGACCAGTTGTTTTAACGTGGGACCTTTTATTTAGCTGGTTTCTGAAGAACAAGTTTAGCTGATAAATACGTTTGTCTGGAGAATTCACAACGTTTAAGATACATTTTACTGTTTTTATGGTAAGAAATGCAACTATTATCTAAAAAAATAAAAAACGGAAGGGAATTCTTCAGTAAATACATTTTGTTAAATGTCATCTGATTACAGACACGACCAACTTCCAGGTGTGCGAGTGTGTAACGGTGTGTGACATCGTGTGCAGCAGTGAGTGTTCTTGCCTTGCTGACAGCCTGTGTGGACAGCATGTCGTTGATAGAGTGGTCGTACTGCTCGGCCAAGATGGCCAGTTTACGCGTTTGTTCATCTTTGATGCGTTTAAGGACGGTCTTGTGATCGGACTTTGGGGTGTTCTCCAGCAGGTGGTTCCTGAGAGCTTTGTACTGACGAGTCTGGATCTTGCAGGTCTCCTGGAACTGGCGCTTAATAAGCAGCTCTTTAGACTAAAATGTGAAGAACAAAGAAAGGTTAGTTTGTTTAAAAGGGTTTTTTCATGTTGGTCTATAGTTTTAAAACCAAATTCTAGAGTCCTAATCTTTTCCACCCCACTCCTCGGAGGTACCTTGAGGCTCTTGGGTTGCTGACGGACTTCCACTGTGTGTTTCTGTCGAAGCTCTTGCTCGCGCCGTTTGTTGTACTCCATCTGGTTGGTGAGCTCAGTCTGGTGCTGCGTGCGGATCAGCTCTACCCGGGTCCTCTGCACCACCCCTAGTTGTCTGAACTCCATCTCCTGAGTGGACTCGTGGTGTCGCAGTAACATGGCACACTCCAGGTCCTTCTGAGTCTGCTTCTTATTAAGTTCCTGGTGGGGAAACAAGGACCACATTAATAAACTCAAAAAATCTGATTAAACAGAGGAAATAGGGCTGCAACGGTATGCTAAAATCACATTTGGTTCGGTGTTCTTTAGGGTTCGGTTCGATAAATGTTCGGTATATTATTATATTTATTTATTTTATACCTGAAGCGGCTCCTGTAGTGAGCAGAACCAGGTGTCATCACAGGCAGCAGATCTAGCGTGATGTCTTTAATTATCTCACAGGTTATTTGTGCAGCTATGAGTGTCGCGCTCATACAGACAAGTGTTGTGTTTGACTGTTGATGCTCAGTGTTTTTAATTCTACAGCGAGCCTTAAATACTCACCTCACACCGCCCTGAGTCTCTTCTTTAAAACTCGTATTAAATAACGACTCCCTCCGCGCCGTATTTCTTGTTGTAGGATGAAAACTTTACATCAGTTCTCCCAGAGGAAAGTTCAGCAGACATGTTTACATTTTTGCCGCTGCGTGCCGGCACAGTGAGAGAGAAGAGAGGGAGGGGCCACTCTCCGTTCAGCGTCTCTACAGGCTCCACAGTAGCAGCGACAGCCAGCTGGTTTCATCCGCTCTGAAAGGCGGATTTGCAGATAACATTTTTTAAACGGAGATCGGGCGCGTGTAGCCATCATGTACCACTCAGTACAGCGTCCATGCAGAAACTCTTAGCCACTGCTCTTAAATCACGCAAATAAAAATTCATTATTTATTGGAAAATGAACCGAAATGGTACGCAAGTGGACCGAACCGAACAGGCTGAACCGAAACGGTTCAACACCCCCCCCCCCCCCGTGAATCGTTACACCTCTAAGAGGAAAGCTAAGGTCTAGTGATATATGAAGGAATACATGCATCCAGTGGTTGATGCGTGCATGCACACACACGCGGCCTCTATCATGAAACAATGCCACCTACTTGCCACAAAGCTGAGCTGGCATCAGGCAGCCTTTGGCCGTTGCTAGGTGGACAGACCGTGGCGGTAATGTGGCTCAATCAAGTTCTTTTCACTAAAGATTATGCTGCGCCGTCACAGACTTCCCTTTAGCTCGGACATAACTTGTTCTTGCGTTCGAAGCTGCGCTCCTCAAATCTCAGAGTCTGTGTTTACTGTGCGTTTGTGCTCATCTCTTGGTCGCGTTGTGCAGTGAAGTGGGATTTCCTTGTTCCAGGACTCTGGTGACGTAGTCTTGAGGAATGTGGAATAGACGTTTTTCTATCACGAATTACAAGAGCTGAACTTTCCAGCGATTCCGGCAGAAGGTTACCTCTCTGAGCAGGTCCTGCTCCAGATTGTGGCGAGCCAGCAGCATCTTCCTCTTGTACTGGCGACACTGCAGCTCGTAGTACTGCCTCTGCCTTCTCAGCAGGCTGGCCTCCTCCTCTGCCTGCATCTGCTGTAAACACTCCTTCTGGCGGATCAGCCACTCCTGCTTCTCCCGCTTTGGAGTCGACTGGTTCTCACTGAGTTCCTGCCGAGAGCACGGCAAAGAGCACGCTGACACAAGTGGCAAGGGAACCAAGATGAAACCTGGTAACCGCTGATTCCATTTAAACCAGAGACCATATAGACTGAAAACGCTGAACTAGGGCTGGGCGATATGGCAAAAATAGAATATCACGATTTTTCCAATATTTTATCACGATTTTTTATCCATGAATAGCATAACTTCAATTGCGTATTAAAGAAGAGAAACATTGAATAAATAAACATTTATTCATATTAGGGATAATCAGCACAGTGCTAACACACTTATATTTTAAACTCACACCAGAGATGATAAAAGCCCTGAGAGAAACAATTACAAAAATCAGTTTTTCAAGTAACTTAACATAAATTAAAAACGTAAACATATTTAAAGTGCAAACATGTCAATTGCAAACGTATTGTGCAAACATTAACTTGTTCAAAATACTGTGTAGCTCCCAGTTGCTCATGTAGTGGATAGTTAAGCTCAAATACGGCTCTGATGTGCGGCTGGACCAGAGATCGCTTGTGGTAGCAAAAAACTGCTCATTCTGAATATTTTCTGCAACAAGTCTCTAAATAAAGTAAAATTTTCCAGTGCAGATTGGAGACAACCCATAGAAGCACTGATTTGATCTTATTTCAGAGAAAAATAGAACAGGTTAGATGCACCTAATAAATAAAATTACTAACAAACTCAGGAATCTTTCTTTGCTTCACTGTTCTGGTGCTGATAATATCACTAATGTGGATCGAAGGAGATACACAGATGAATGCACCTCTTATTATTTGGAGACTACATCTACTGCAGCTGGCAGAGGCAGAGATTGTTTCTACTGATACACGGATTTAGAGAATCATTTTAAATGTTAATAGGGGAAGACTGCAGGAGGGAGCGGTAAAATACAGGGGGGTCCCAGCAAAAACAAGAAACTACGAGTCTGATGAAACCCGGCCCGCTTGTTTTCCATCAGGCAGTCACGGGGCAGCTCCATCGACCCAGTGACCGAGCTCAGTCCGGCTCGGCAGAGGGTGGACGAGCCGAGGCGACGTCGTGCTCTGCTTAAGAAGCGGTGATATTTTCCTGCTTCAGAAGAAGCGTCCAACGTGTTTTTACGCTTTCTCCGAGACATGTCACGTCACTAAGTTGTTAGCGCCGCGCGCTAAGGAAACCCTGCGTTCCTCTTCGGAACGAAAACCTCGCTGTCGCTCAGCCGCGGCCGAAGCCATGTTTGTTCACACACAGGTGAAAACAAGCGGGGCACTAATATATTACTATAACTCACTCTGATTGGTTAAGGGTCAAACAAAGGCGTCTCATTCGCCTGAGGTAAGTTCCCTTTTCATTCAGAGGCAGAAATTCAACAGCAGAGCTGTGAATCGTGATAAAACGGTCTCTCAAAAATGACAGAGCGTCAGATGTGTAGATCGTACAACGGTCTAAAATCGTCATATCGCCCAGCCCTACGCTGAACATTAAAGCTGAAGCATCAGCTCTACTAGTGATGAGATGTTTACGTGTGTCTGTCTGGAGCAGCACAATAACTCAAAATCAGAAATACTTTATTAGTCCCAAAGGGAAACTAAGGCTACGTTCACACTGCAGGAAAAAGTGCATCAAATACGCTTTTTCCACACACGCGACCCATATCAGATTTTTTTATGACGGTCTGAACGGCACAGATCCGATCTTTTCAAATTTGATCCATGTCACTTTTATGAGTGGTACTGATTCTGATACATATCTGATGTTTTTGAAAGCGACTGCGGTTTGAACTGTCATGTCGCATTAAATCAGCCTCCTACGTCACTGAGTCAGCAGAGGTGAGCGTCATGTGTGGATGCTCCTGAGGAGAAGCGCTGACGGATTCAGGAGTCTGTCTGGACATCCTGTTTTAGGTTTTGGAATAAAAAATACAAGAGAGCATGAGAATGGGTGAGGAAGGTGCTGCTGGAGCGGAGCGAAGCGTTTCAGCGATCTCAGTCTCCGTCGGGGGGGGGGGGGGGGGGGGGGGGCTTAATACCAGAACATTTTCGGTGAATAATTCAGGGAGACGGCGGGAAAAAGGAGCGAAACCGTTCGGTTTTTAAAACAGTTTCCAGTCCAAAACGGAAGAATTAACAGGTGTGATCCTGATCTTGTGGATGAACTGTCACGTCGCTACTCGAGCAGGGTATATTGCGCAACGCCGCCGCCTGGTTTTGGCTCCGCTGAGTGTGACTTCTCATCTTCTGACCATGCGGGTCGCTTTGGGGCAGTGAAGCGTTCACACTCGAGAGTTCGATGTAGCATTTCAGTCACAGTGTGAACAGCCACATAAAAAAATCTGATTTACTCAAAAATTGGATTTGAGCATCAAGGCCTGCAGCGTGAACGTAGCGCAAGTGTCGTCTTAACTCATTAAAGAAATAAAAAAGCAATAATAATGATCTCAGTTGGTAAACTTCAAAGAATCATTACAGAAAAAAGCTAAAAGAATGAGTAGTACTTCTTTGAGCTGCTCCTTGCGCATGCGGTACTGGCGTTTCTGTGTGTCCAGTAGACAGCTCAGTTCTTTCTTCTGCTGATTTAGAATCTGCTGCTGGAACTTCTTCTCTTCTGCTAGAGCTGCTTTAATCTGCAGGACAACACAAAGAGAGGAGGCATCTGACGAACCTCTGAAAAGAAGATGATCAGACCGGTTTACAGTGTGAATGCGATAAACAACCTCTTTCTCCAAGATAGCCTGGTGCTTCTTGGACAGTTTGTCAGCTTCAGCAGAGAAGTTATTCCTCTGGTTCTCCAGCTCTTTGTCTAGCTTCAGCTGATGCTCGTCCATCTCGGCCTTCAGCTTGTTCTCCAGACCCATCAGCTGCTTCTGGTGCTGCCGTCTCATCCGTTTGTAGCCGGACATCTGCTCTCGCAGTGCAGAGCCTTGCTCGTGTTCTTGAATCTGGCGCGTCACCTGGAGGAGAACGGAGGAGCGGCAACACATTTCTTAAAGTCTAGCAGAGTTTGGGCTGCAACTGCTGACTAGATGGAAACATTTGGTTTCCAAAAAAAAGTATGACAATATTATTCAACATAATTTGCAACACATTAATGCATAACGTTGAGCAACTTTTATGGCAACTGGTAACAAAATGTTTCGTTACGCTTTGTGGGTCACCAACCTATCCTAGCCTCTCCCATTTCTCTCACTTTCCAAACGATGGACACAGAGCTGAGGAAGGTTTCAGACGCAGAGAAAAAACATCTTCCAAACTGTCTGAACATGTTGAAAATTCCAGCAACACAGAACAAGGTCCATGCAACTCACACGAGGAAATGAATCTTGAATGCTGCTCACAGATTGTTGCCAACAGTCTCACCCTCACTCGGTGAGAGGATGATGATGCTGAATGATTCACCCAGAATTAGCTGATACATAAAATCCATAACTGTGTTTCAGGTGTAAGCAGCAGCTCCACATTTGAAAGCTAACTAAAGATGGGTCTTCATTTGACTTTACTGCTTAAACTACCGTATTTTCCGGACTATAAGCCGCTACTTTTATCCCCACACTTTGAACCGTGCGGCTTATAATGAGGTGTGGCTTTACTGAAGATTTTCCTTCAACTGCCACTAGGGGGCGCTTTAGCAGAAAGTGAAACAGGTGGAAGTCAAAAGTGGAAATGGAAGAAAGTGCTCATTTTAATTTAGCACATGCAAGCAGCCGGCACCACGAAGAATTTGTTTCAAATCCATACCCCCTCATCATGGAAACTACACGTATGAGTTCATATGATGCTGCATTTAAGCTGAAGGCCATCATCTGGCAGTAAAGGAAGGAAACAGCGCTGCCGCACGTAAGCTTGGCATGAATGAATCCATGGTTCGGCGCTGGAGACAGCAGCGGGAAGAACTCATTCAAGCCAGCTTCACCCGGGGATGATGACAGCTAGAGCTGGGGGTAAACGATTATTTTTAAAACGATTATTCTGACGATTATTTTATCGAATAGTCGACTATTCTAATGACTATTTAGACAATTAATCTAATGATTATTTTTCTATTGCACAGTTAATAAAAACCAAAAAATCTCTAATAAATTCCTCAAAAAAATTGATAGATTGTTACTGTAAGAGAATAAACACTACAGGCCTTCCATTTTGTAAAACACTGCTTTTATTGTGTTGGTTGGTTATGTTCTGGTGACATGTAGAACTTGGGAGTGCAGGCTGCTGCCTGAGAGGTGGTTGGAGACGGAGTGTCTCCATGCTGCTTTGTTTTGGTCACTTATGTGCGTGAGGCGAGTGGTGTTACGACTCTTCCTGGGGAGTTTGGCTCATGTGCAAAAAGGAAGGGACAACAACGGGATTTAAAAGTTAAAATGATGATCAGGTTTATTTACAACTACAAAAAAACATAAACCTTTCCATCCACAGGTTGGGAATAATAAAACTAATTCTGCCTGTGGGGAATTAAAACAAAAGTAAAAATAAGTAGGGATGTCCCACTGGGCAAAGATTACTGGGTTCTGGACCAAAATAAGAATCTCCAAAGGTCCAACTCTAAACTGGGTGGTTAAACCAAACTCAAGGTGATATTTTAAACTAAACCGAAAACCCACAACACTCTAAATGTAATAAAAGGGAGATCTACGCCACAAAAAAAGATGAACTCTAAACCAAAACGTAACAGCTTATCCAAACGCAAGAAGCTGTTAGCGAAAATGCTAACAGTAGCTTTACCAACGTTACGTTCAAGTTACCAAGTTTAAATAAACCAAAAACACCCAGCAGCAAACAGACCAGCACGGAGGAGAGACTGCTACCACCAAAACAGCTCTCCTAATGTCTGAAAGAAGCTCCTTTATGAAGGGAGAAACGCTCCCGGTGATTTTCTACATCTGCGGTAGAGACGGAGCAGCGCATCTGACCCCGGAAGTTGTTGTCCGTTGCCGGGAGACGAAGGTGGGCAAAACAGGAAAATAATCTAGTAGTGGACGGACATTATTCCGGGTCTTCGGTATTTGGCGGAGATGTTAGTGAAGGTGGAGAAGAGGGCGAACTAGAGGAAAAACATGCAGATTCCTCCTCTATTTACAAACTCCTGTGGATGCAGCAAGTGGGCGCAGTGCGTCGACTACCGGATCTGACGTCGACAAATTTTTAGAATCAAGCCGTCGACGTCATCGAGGCATCGCTACAGCCCTAATGACAGCAACACGGACATCGCCACAGAAAAGGTATGTGACGAAGCTCTTCTGAGGCTGTTCAACTCCGACACTGAAGAAGAGGACTTTAATGGCTTTAGTGTGCAGGAGGAAGATGAGAGCAAATGACTTCTTCTGGTAGACAAGTGTGTTTTATTTACTAACCAGGCATGTTTTGTGTGCAGTTTTTATTTTCTAATCATCCAGGGCTTATTAGTGCTGTGTCAGCACAGTTCTTTTCTTCTAAACATGCAAATGACCGGTAATAACATGTCAGTGGTGTTTTTATGTTATAACCATCCAGAAATATGAATGCTATCAGCGCTGTTTTCTTTTCTAAACTTGCAGGCACGTTCACCCGTGTTTAAAATTCCTTTTGTTGAATTAAAACACCAACGAAAAACCTCCGTGTAGCGTCTTTCTGTCTAATTATCTTATGCTATGGCCGTACATGCGCTGTGCGCCGGAGACCTGCATATGGCTGCTGCGCTGCGGCTTGCATTCGAGTAGGGCTGCAGCTATCGAATATTTTTGTAATCGAGTACTCTATGGAATCTTTTATTCGATTAATCGAGTACTCTAATAAATTACCCTTTTGTGTTTGTAAACCATTATATCAAATAGCATGTTATAAAATATGAAAGACCTCTCAAAATGAGCAAGCAATTGCCAGTTATTCTTCAAGTTTTATTCAAAATTAAGTTTGCAAAACTTCAGCACTTCAACTTTATTTCACAGTAAACAAATGCCTGTGCAAAAAATAAGTAAACCTGAGCCGATTTTCCCCTCGTGCGAGAATCTGCTCGCCTGCAAGCCAGACAAAAACTAGGAGGATAACTGCTGAAGTAGCGCTGCGAGCGGCTGCGGCCCAAACAGAACCAGAACCGCTCACGGCGCAAACAGCTCGCCGGCTGTTTCCCTATTTACACGTTCGTTTTAATTTCTACACTTTTTTTCTCACACAATAACAAGGATTGTCGAGAAAGCATGTTTGCTGTGGTTTTGGCAAATTATACTGATCTCAAAACATTTATTTACTTTCTTTCGTTTTCCTCCGCCACTCATAAATACCAGTGTCCTCCTGCAGCAATCCCGAGGGACAACAAATATCAATAACAACACAATAAAAAGTCCGACATGTTGTGTAAAAACTGCTATTTTTAGCACATTTTAAGTCTGACGTGTTGCTACCAGACGTACGGTGTGAGCTGAAACGGAGTGCTACAAACGAAAAAGTCGCAGAGTCCGCAGAATATATAGAAAAACAGGCTAAAATGCATTATCTTGTAGAGGCTCCGAGTCCGCTTGCAGAAGTGACATTTACAGGTGCTGCAGCACGGAGGATGTGGTGTTGTGTAGGGCTGCAACAAACGATTATTTGGATAATCGATTAATCGGATGGGGTCTCGACACGATTAATCGATTAATCGGATTACATGGAGAAATTTTTAAAAACTGCTAGGGAAACGTTATTTCTCTCCTTCCTTCACTTTATTTAACACAACATTATTAGAAAACAGTTCAATAGCAGAAAAACAACATGCCATCACCTAAATTGTCTTATAAGGTGTATAGACAGAGACCCTAAGCTACATCTATCTGTGACCTAAAATGCTTGGTCCAAGTTAAACAGCTTAAGGGCAATTCTCATCTGTTTTGTTTGATCTCATCTGTTAACATTTATTTTAAATGTAATTAAACATAGGCTGTGAATTAATCAAAATTGATCACTATTTCCAAAACTGACTGAAAAAATACCAAATAAAACAAAAGTAAATGAATGCCATCCTCCTTGCAATGATGCCCTGGGCAACTGCCATAAAGTCACATCAAGAAATGCTGCTGATCATTCCAATGATCCCAAATAGACTCACATTAGGCCACATGAAAGCAACTGAACCCAAAAATATATTAACCAGTATATAACTGCACTCTCACACAACACGCCTGCAGCAACAGTTAGGACTCCTCCCTCCCTTTTAAAAGCATTTTTGCTTCTGAGGACATTGTGGTTGTAAAACCACATGCTAGTAGTCTGGCCCCGGTGTGATCAACCAGTTTCTGCGGGAATGTGACGGCGGAACCAGGGCCAGATTAACACTTTGTTGTACCCTGGGCAACAATATTCAAGGGCTCCATCATCACGACCCAAGGATCACCATAATGTGGTCACATACAGAATATTTTACTGTAATATGCAGTAAATATACTCAATACTTGAATGCCTGACAACACGTAACCCGCCCAGAGTAACCTGTGACCCACCTCGTGTGGACTGACCAATGAGGAGACGGTCTTAACTTGAGGCCCTCTCTTCATTGGTCAGTCTGCATGAGACTGACTCTCAACTGACATTCAGTCGTAGGCAGCGAAGCGTCTCTGTGCAGCGCAAAAGCCCGGGTGGACAGTTTGTTTAATATAGGGTGATCATATCCATTTCCAAACAAGAGGACAGGGGATCTGTGCCTATGACGTCACACTATGGCAACGTCACACAAACCATGTTGGGACCCATTTTTTGTAAGAACTAAATTAATATCAGATTCTGCCAATTAAAGGGCTCTAAAACAATTCATATGTAAATATTTTGCATTTTTAATGCAAAATCTAATTTTTCTGCTTTAGTGCTGCAACAAGGTTTTATTAATAATAAATTATTATACCTTTTGTTTTACTACAGCATCGGTAAGCTTCCTGTGCACAGATGATTAAGGATGCTTGTTTCAGCTGTGAGATTAGACGATAGGATCAATGAAAAAATAAGTTGTCACACACTCCATGGAAACTATAAGAGAATCCACAAATAGTGGCTTTCAAATGGTTTTGTTACTTTTTGCAAGTTTTTAAAAGCAGCAGATGAGACAGCATGTCTGATAATTTAGTTTTTCATCTGATAATATTAGAACATGTCAGTAATGTCTGAGGGGCTTTTATAAACACCATATAACTAACACTACTGGAGAGGGCATGAATTACACAGAGGCTTCTGGGGAGCCCAGTTATGGGGGGGGGGCATTTTGCCTTGGCCCCCAAAATGTCTTGAAACGGCCCTGGGTGTGTGACTGAGTTTTGAAGGTGATCTGAATTGTATCAGATGTATAAATATGACATGTGTATAACTTATTGTTTTTTACTGGTAAAAACGTGTCATTTGACTTTTCAACACTTTGTTTTGTTTTCTTGTTTTTATTAAACTATTTTCCTGTCCTGTCTGTCTCTCATCTTCCTGCATCTCCTCATAATTCTCCAGAAAATCTGTTGCCTGGATTCTTACCTTTTCACCTCATCAGTTACTTTTGAACAGATCAAAGGGATCTCCTGACCGAAAAGCTCAGAGCGTGTTTTCGATGCTGCGTGAGGTGACATCACCACAGCACAGGTGATGAGCTCCGCAGTAGCGAGCTTCAGGCACAAATAAGTCAGAAAATAGAGAACATGTGCGGACATGAACGATTGTGTGCTAATTATAGTTTTTTGGTTGCGCCACTTTGAGAATGGACCGTGCGCTGGAAGCAGCTGCCTGGATCGCTGCGCGACAATGCGGAACCGGTTCGCAGCAGCGCAAGTCTGCCGGCTCTCCCTCGCGCTGATCTGACTTGCTCTGGTCTGCGCGCAACGGCGGGCGGGAAAGGGGGGGGGCGCTTTTGGAAGAGTTGTGCGACACAACGAATCGATGACGCAATTCGTTGCCAACGCTTTTAGTAATCGATTTTCATCGAATTTATCGATTCGTTGTTGCAGCCCTAGTGTTGTGGTAGGCTAAATCCATTTTACAGTTTTTATACTGGACTACGTTTTCCACCTTACGACGTGAAAAATGGTCCCACAACTTTTACATTTTCTGTCTTTTTCGCACTCCACCGGGGTTCAAGTTGTCCACCATGGCTTAAGAGAAAGTTAAGTTACATTCGCTACTCACGTGTGCGTTCAGTCCAGTGGGCAAGTGCGTCACTTATTTCGGTCCGGGTGAAACATGACCCCGTGCGTTTGCAAAGCCATGAATTAATTAAATATGAATTAAACGAATCCTCGAGGCAGAGAATTTTACTCGAGGATTTTTTGTACTCGAATTATTCGAGGTACTCGAGGAATCGTTTCAGCCCTACATTCGAGTACGGCGTGTGTGTGTAGAGAACTTTAGGTTACTGTCGTAACCGCGGTTCTCTGAGTAACATGAGTGAGATGTCTCACTATGGGATACGCCCCTCCGCGGATTCCTCAGAAGCACTTATCTCAATACGCCAATCCTGATTGGCCAGTGACCGTGACGTACGCGTCCCCTGCTACTATAAGTAGCAAGCGTCCCCACGCACGCACTATTCAAGATAAACACCTCTTCTCGCTTCGCCCAGCAAGAAGGGTTGTCTGGTGAGACATCTCACTCATGTTACTCAGAGAACCGGGGTTACGACAGTAACCTAAAGTTCTCTTTCTTAACATTCGTTTCGATGTCTCACTATGGGATATGGAGACTCCCGTATTGCCAGGCAGCTTATCCAGCGATCACCAACCTACAGGGATACGTCTTGGCCCGCCAAAGACCCCACACTCAGAATCGTGTGAGTCATTGCAGGGACCGAAACATCAAGCTTATAGAAGCGTGCAAATGCAAGTGGAGAAGCCCAACTTGCTGCAGCACAAATCTCCTGGATTGACAGCCCCCGAAAAAGGGCCCAAGAAGCAGACAGGCCCCTAGTAGAATGGGCCCTGAGCCCTACAGGTGCCTGAATGCCCTGACAGGAGTAAGCCATAGAAATAGCCTCCACAATCCAGAGGGAAAGCCGATGCTTTGTGAAGGGTTTCCCCTTACGAGGCCCACCCCATGACACAAAAAGCTGGTCCCCCCTGCGAAGGTTCTCCGTCCGATTAACATACTCGTTGAGAGCGCAAATCGGACACAGCTTGTGCAACCGCTCCTCCTCAGGAGAGGAGAAGGGCGGTGGGTAGAAAGCTGTGAGGAGAATAGGAGAAAAGGAGCCCACTACCTTGGGCACAAAGGCAGGGTTGGGCTTCAGGGACACCTTCATGTCACCCGGTGCCAACTGGGTGCAGGATGGGTGCGCAGAGAGAGCCTGTAAGTCACTAACTCGCTTTGCAGATACCAAAGCCAGGAGTAGCACCACCTTAAGAGACAGGATCTTAAGGTCCAGGCCGTCCATAGGCTCAAACGGAGGCCCGGAGAGGGCCGACAGCATCAATGACAGATTCCATGAGGGCACCAGGGGTCGAGACACAGGGAGAAGCCTGCACACGCCCCTCATGAAGCTACACACAGGGGGAAATTATGGTACTAATCCCTGGTTAACTGAACTGGTCTCTGAGGGTCCACCACTTTGAAGCTGATCACAAACGATCCAGACCATCTGACAGCAGCCTCTCAAGAGTGGGTCTGTCCTGACATATCGTTAGTTGTGAGCAGCTGCAGAATAGGAAAGAAACAACTTTACGTTCTCAAGTTTCTCTAAAGAGGAAAGGACACAAAGATTTACCATTTTAGCTTTTTTTAAAGTATAATGCGTCATTTTTGTCACAAAGCCTCCAATCATGATGCTAAGAGGTTCTGTTCATGTTTATAAATCAAACCAGTTATTAAAATACAAAACTTGGTATATTGGTTCCTACCAATTCTAGAATGATCCTTCTACAGGGTCATTTCACCGCATTGGACACCTGGTTCGGATACTTTCATTAGTCAACAGATCAGGACTCGGATACTCACCAGAGAAGCAGTGCGGATGGTGGCGAAGTGGTCTCGGTTCCGGTAATAGGCTCGGCGACGGCCAGCTGAGGTGGCCTGAGGCTGATCCATCTCTGGTTGGTACGGGTCATCGTAGATGTTGTCCTGACCCTGAACAGGAGGGAAAGAATCCCAGTCAGCTGACGCTTCACACACTCAGAGCTGAAACAGAGTCCAAAGCTTACAGTTGGTCGGTGGATGATAGAGCTGTTGGAGGTGACGGTGTGCTCCCCCTCCTGCATCATGGCCATCTCAGTGCTGCTGTCATCAGAGCCATCGGCCAGGCTGTTGACAGAGCTGCTCTGAGAACTGGCAGAGATGGACATACTGGGAACAGACTGGGAGCTCTCCATGCTGTTTATGGTGCCTGTCTGCAGTAGGTATGGCTCCACTTCCTGACACACACACACACACACACACACACACACACACACACACACACACACACACACACACACACACACACACACACACACACACACACACACACACACACACACACACACAGTTGAAACGTTTACGCTGACCGGTTCTTTTTGTTGGTGGTAAATTTGATTTTTCTCCCTCGTGTTTCGTTTTGACTCTGGTTTGGACAAAGCTCACACAACCAGTTCATCCGGTTGCCTTTCTGACAATGAAGTGAAACAGAAACCCCAACAGGATACTGTAACCGAAAAACAGGCAAGTTCCTCCTCAACTATCTAACATTTTCTATCATTAGAAGAGCTGATGATTTTCTGAACAGCTGTTTGTTTATCCTTTAGATTAGGAGTTTTACGTCTGAATGAAATCAGACGCCCCAACCAGGTAAATACAGAAAAGTGAAAACTGTCCACTGAATGTGCTGAGGAACAACCAAAAGCAACAACTGGCTTTTGGATCAGGATCGCTCTGGTGAATAATTCCTGTTCAGTAACTGGTTTGTGTTTGCTGCTGCTCGTCTCTATGAGGGAATAAAACAGATGATATCAAACCTGCCCTCCTCTCCCTCCCCACTGGCCTTTGAGTGTTTTCACTGCTGACCAAAACATTTTTATGGGCCATGGTCTCAAAAAGAAGACAACCTGCTCAATCTTCTGGCCACAGGTCAGGAGGCTGTGGTTGGTTAGCTACTCTGAACATGGACGGGTTAGGGTTCTTGCTCACTGGATGAACATTTTCTGTGCCTCGATTTCAAATGTTTACTAAAACAGTTTTTATTTATATTTATTTATTTTTTAAATCAGACACAATAATTCCTTTTGCTGCATAACTAAAGCTACACTAAACTGTCCGGTTTTAAAAACACATGTTTTCAGAGTAACAGTTTTTATATTTTACCACACTGTGTGAAGCAACCTTAGAGCCTTCAAAATCTAATGTATAAAATATTTTAATAAGTTAATTATTAATAAAAATGACTTTTGATCTTCAGGGGGAAAAAAAACAATGAAAAATCCACGTTAACGAGCCGGTGACACGTAGTCTTGCAAGTCATCCTTTATATGTGAATATACACACACTGGCCACTTTAATGGGTACACCTTGCTAGTACCGGGTTGGACCCCTTTTTTTCTTCCAGAATTGCCTTAATGCTTTGTGGTATAGATTCAACAAGGTACTGGGAACATTCCTCAGAGATTTTGATCCATACTGACATGATAGCATCACGCAGTTGCTGCAGATTTGTCGGCTGCACACCACGATGCAAATCTCTGGTTACACCACATCCCAAAGGAGCTCTACTGGATTGAGATCTAGTGACTGTGGAGGACATTTGAGTACGGTGAACTCACTGTCCTGTTCAAGAAACCAGTCTGAGATGATTTCAGATTTATGACATGGCGCATGGAGAACTACAGGTACCAGGGTGTGATCGACAACAGGCTGGACTGGGCTTCTAACACAGAAGCTGTGTACAAGGAGGGATTGAGCAGACTTTTTCTTGAGGAAGTTGAGATCCTTCAATGTGTGCAGCAAGATGTTGGAGATCTTTTACCAGCCTGTTGTTGCCAGCACCATCTTCTTTGCGGTCGTGTGCTGGGGCAGTAGCATCAGAGCCAGCGACACTAACAGACTTAATGAGACCAGTGAGAAGACTGGCTCTGTCCTTGGTTTCAGACTGGACACCTTGGAGACCGTGGTGGAGACGAGGATGCTGAAAACACTTTTACCCATCATGGACCATCAACCCTTCTATCATACAGTAGACAGACAGAGGAGCACCTTCTCACACAGGCTGCTACCGCTCCGCTGTTGAAGAGAAAGACACAGGAAGTCTTTCCTACCGTTTAACATCAAATTGTACAACAGCATAGGGTTGTCACGGTAACCAATGTAGCGGTAAACCCCAGTAAAAAAGTTGACAAATAATAATCGTCTTGTTTTTAAAAACTATATTATCTCGGTGGGTTTACCGTGGCTGCGGTGTAGGCGCGGTGACCCTTACCAGCCACCGTATCGTCTGCTGAAGTTGCCGGCGGCACATGCGCACTTTGTTGTTTACAACCAAAACTTTCTTGAAGCTAAAGCTGAAATAATGGTCAAAGGAGGAGACGGCAGTGCTCAGGAGGACATTTATTATCCCTCAAAGAAGACAAAGTGGGAAGTACGGGCATTTTTTGGATATTTGAAGAATGCTGAGGGACAGCTGATAGAAGACGGCTGTCCTGTTTGCAGCATGTGCAGAAAAAGTGTCTGTGAAAGGCAGCAACGCTTCAAATCTCATGACACATCTGCGTGACCATCACCCACAACTCTACAGTCAACGCAAGGCAAGCTAACGTTAGCGTTTTAGCTAAAATGCGTGATCCGAGGATTTGGGTTGAGGGAGAATGCAACGAGTCGCTATATAAAGCAGCCGCAGCGCCGCTACCTGCATATAAACCGTGTCACGGACACCCCCATGTTGAAATGACGCTATGCATTACGGGACTCCCAGGGGCAGATAAGAGTTGGTCTCTCTCCGAGAATAATTATGAATTTAACAATGATTACTGCCTGATGACATTTTCCAACATCTGCAAAGCTCACTGGAAGAACACAAACCGAGGACAATATTTTTCCTGATATACAGGGTTTATTTACTTGTCTGAAAATGTAACACGTTTAAAAAAATACCGTGATAATACTGAAAACGTGATAATTTTGGTCACAATAACCTTGAGGCTAAATGGTCACACCGTGACAACCCTACAACAGCACCAACTAAACTCTGGTTCACAATATAATCAATATGCGTTTCATATTTTATACTTTTTGGCCATTTTATATTGCTATTGTTTTTAACTGTCTTAATGTGTGCTGCTACACTGCAATTTCCCAGCCTTGGATCAATTAAGTACACCCATCCATCATTTTCCTGCTGGAAGTATCCATCAGAAGATGGGTACACTCTGTGGTCATAAAGGGATGGACATGGTCAGGAACAACACTCAGCTAGGCTGTGGCATTGCAAGGATGATCAATTAGTACTAAGGCTGGGCGATATGGCCTAAAATCAATATCATGACATATTGAGGATTTCACCTCAATAACGATAAATGGACGATAACTACAGGTATGCGCAGAAACAAAAGCTGTCCACTAGATGGGGCTGTCACATGTATTACGTTACATTTTTACGTGACTCAAAGTGGTACAGCTTCTTAAAGGGACATGAAGGTTGCCAACCTACACACATCTTTTCATTTTTTTATTATCAAATTTATTAACATGGGAAAAATTATCTTGATAAGAGTCAGAAATTTCGATAACGATATATTTTTGATTTATTGCCTGGTCATAATTAGTACTAAGGGGCCCAAAGTGTGCCAAGAAAATGTTGCCCACACCGTTACACCACCACCACCAGCCTGAACCGCTGTTACAAGGCAGGATGGATCCATGCTTTCATGTTGTTGATGCCAAATTCTGACCCTACCATCCAACTGTTGCAACAGAAATCGAGACTCAGACCAGGCAACATTTTTCCAATCTTCTGTTGTCCAATTTTGGTGAGCCTGTGTGAATTGTAGCCTCAGTTTCCTGTTGTTAGCTGACAGGAGCGGCACGTGGTGTGGTCTTCTGCTGCTGTAGCCCATCTGCCTCACGGTCCGATGTGTTGTGTGTTCAGATGCTCTTCTGCGTGCTTTGTGTGTAACGAGTGGTTATTTGAGTTACTGTTGCCTTTCTATCAGCTCAAACCAGTCAGGCCATTCACCTCTGACCTCTGGCATTAACAAGGCATTTTCGCCCACAGAACTGCCGCTCACTGGATGTTTTCCCTTTTTCGGACCATTCTCTGTAAACCAAAGAGATGGTTGTGCGTGAAAATCCCAGAAGATCAGCAGTTGAAATCCTCAGACCAGCCCATCTGGCACCAACAACTATGCCACCTTCAAAGTCACTTAAATACATTTTCTTCCCGGTTCTGAAGCTTGGTTTGAACTGCAGCAGATCATCTTGACCATGTCAACATGCCTAAATGCAATGAGTTGCCACAAAGGGATTGGCTGATCGGTAAATTGCGGTAAAGAGACGTTGGCGTACCCAATAAAGCGGCCAGTGAGTGTATAGTTTAGCCAAGAGTCGTCTCAAGACACTTTACAAACATTCTAGTCGAGTTCAGTGATTAAGCCAACTAGTTAAAGGTTTCCTATATAAGGAACCCAGCAGGTTGCATCGAGTCACTGACTAGTGTCAGAGTCTTTACAGCAATCCTCATACTACGCAAGCATGCAGCGATAGTGGAGAGGAAAACTCCCAGGAAGAAACCTCCAGAGGATCCTGGCTCAGTATAAGCAGCCATCCACTACGACTCACTGGAGATGGATGGATGGAGACACAGACACATACAGATGCCAGGGTGTTCCCCAGCACTGTAAAAGCTGGGCAGGCTGCCAGGCCTTGCTTGGCCCCCTGCCGGGATAAGCGTACCCCTGCACGGATGACTCACGAAAGCGAAAAGATTCATGTGTGTGAAAAGAAAACCAACATCTTTCATCAACCTCTTTGGTCTACTTGATTATTTTGCTTTTGGACCCTGTTTTATCACCGAGTTAAATAAATTACTTTCACATTTGCCTCCATCCTCACCTCCTCGTCCTCCCCACCCTCAGAGACGGGTCCATTCTGCTGGGTTTCCTGAAAGAGAATCTTCTTCATCTTTCGGTACTGCAGGTTGTCCAACTCCCTTACAGCATCCTTGGTCCGTGTGATTAGATCCATGATCACAGTCTGTGGACGTTCGTGGCTCAGGAAGCGATGCTGTAGGTGGAGAGAGAGATGAAAGAGGTGTAAAAATAAAGGTTATGAAATAATTCTTAAGACCTCACTCACGTTCAGCAGCACGTCTGATGTTGGCCTGTCCTGAGGAATCTTCTGCAAACATGAATCAACAAAGCTACGGAACGAATCAGACCTGAAAAACAAACACAACAACATGGTTTTGTTTCGTTTTTCCAAGCTCCGTACCCAGGGCTATTCCATTTGGTGCCTGGAGGGCTGGTATCCAGCCTGTTTCGGTTTAACCCTGCTTCAACACACCTGATTTCAATCAGCAGGGGATTAACAAGGCTTCTTCAGAGCCTGATGAGCTGCTGCACATGTGATTCAACCACTGAATCTAGTGTGTTGGACTAGAGAAACCATTATAACATGCAGGATACCGGCCATTGAGGCACGGAATTGAATAGCCCCGCCTTATCCAAAGACAAATGGTGACTTTCAATGATCTGGACTAAAGAGAAACCAAAAGCAGAAAAAAGGGATTTTTTTTGCTTTCACACATTATTTCAATTTAACCAAGTTGGAATATCCATTACACAAAATCAAATAAACTTCATAGGGTCATGAAGAAACTTTCTGATGAAGTCTTTGGCCTTTAGACCAAACCTTTGTAGGGATGAAACCTGTGAGATGAGAGCAGAGCGAGCGGTCCTCACCAGTGATTGGACTGCAGGATGGGACTTTCATTCTGAGCGATCTGGTATAAGGCACTCATAGCATTCATGTTGAACAGCGGGGGCTTCCTCTCAGCTGTAGACAAGCCAAACAGTCAAGTTGTTTATGAACCCAAATCTTAACAACAGATAAACTTTCTGAGGTGAAGGCAGCAGGATGTACCCAGCTCTATACAGGTGATTCCAAGTGACCAGACGTCCACCTTTCCATCGTACTGGCCCTCATCCATGGCTAATATTACTTCTGGCGCCATCCTGGAAAAGAGACAACAGCAGCAGTTAATAGAAATGAATATTTATACACTCACCTGAAGGATTATTAGGAACACCACGCTAATACGGTGTATGACCCCCTTTCACCTTCAGAACTGCCTTAATTCTACATGGCGTTGATTCAACAAGGAGCTGAAAGCATCCTTTAGAAATGTTGGTCCATATTGATAGGATCGCATCTTCCAGTTGGGAGATGTGTGGGATGAACATCCAGGGCACGTAGCTCCTGTTCCACCACATCCCAAAGATGCTCCATCGGGCTGAGATCTGGTAACTGTGGAGGCCGTTGTAGTACAGAGAACTCATCGTCATGTTCAAGAAACCAGTTAGAAATGATTGGAGCTTTATGACATGGTGCACTATCCTGCTGGAAGTAGCCACCAGAGGATGGGTACATGGGGGTCATGAAGGGATGGGCATGGTCAGAAACAATGCTCAGGTAGCCTGTGGCATTTAAACCATGCCCAGTTGGCTCTAAAGTGGCCTAAAGTGTGCCAAGAAAACATCCCCCACACCATGACACCACCACCACCACCACCAGCCTGCACAGTGTAACAAGGCATGATGGATCCATGTTCTCATTCTGTTTACGTTAAATTCTGTCTCTACCATTAATGTCTCAACAGAAACGGAGACTCATCAGATCAGGCAGCATTTTTTAGTCTTCAACTGTCCAGTTTTGGTGAGCTGGTGCAAATTGTAGCCTCTTGTTCCTGTTTGTAGTGGAGATGAGTGGTACCCGGTGGGGTCTTCTGCTGTTGTAGCCCATCCGCCTCAAGGTTGTGCGTGTTGTGGCTTCACAAATGCTTTGCTGCGTTCCTCGGTTGTAACGAGTGGTTATTTCAGTCAAAGTTGCTCTTCTATCAGCTTGAATCAGTCGGCCCGTTCTCCTCTGACCTCTAGCATCAACAAGGCATTTCCACCCACAGGACTGCCGCATACTGGATGTTTTTCCCTTTTCACACCATTCTTTGTAAACCCTAGAAATGGTTGTGGGTGAAAATCCCAGTAACTGAGCAGATTGTTAAATACTCAGACCACCAACAACCACGCCACGGTCAAAATACAGGTGCTGGCCAGTAAATTAGAATATCATCAAAAGGTTGAAAATATTTCAGTAATTCCATTCAAAACGTGAAACTTGTACATTATATTCATGCAATGCACACAGACCAATGTATTTCCGATGTTTATTACGTTTAATTTTGATATTTATAGGTGACAACCAATGAAAACATCAAATCTGGTATCTCAGAAAATTAGAATATTCTAAAGGCCAATGAAAAAATGTTTGTTTCTCTAATGTTGGCCAACTGAAAAGAATGAACATGAAAAGAATGTGCATGTATAGCACTCAATACTTAGTCGGGGCTCCTTTTGCCTCAATAACTGCAGTAATGCGGCGTGGCATGGACTCGATCAGTCTGTGGCACTGCTCAGGTGTTATGAGAGCCCAGGTTGCTCTGATAGTCGTCTTCAGCTCCTCTGCATTGTTGGGTCTAGCGTATTGCATCCTCCGCTTCACAATACCCCATAGATTTTCTATGGGGTTAAGGTCAGGCGAGTTTGCTGGCCAATCAAGGACAGGGATACCATGGTCCTTGAACCAGGTGCTGGTGGTTTTGGCACTGTGTGCAGGTGCCAAGTCCTGTTGAAAGGTGAAGTCTGCATCCCCATAAAGTTGGTCAGCAGCAGGAAGCATGAAGTGCTCTAAAACTTCCTGGTAGACGGCTGCATTGACCCTGGACCTCAGGAAACAGAGTGGGCCAACACCGGCAGATGACATGGCACCCCACACCATCACTGACGGTGGAAACTTTACACTGGACCTCATGCAACGTGGATTCTGTGCTTCTCCGCTCTTCCTCCAGACTCTGGGTCCTTGATTTCCAAAGGAAATGCAGAACTTGCTTTCATCAGAAAACATAACTTTGGACCACTCAGCATCAGTCCAGTCCTTTTTGTCCTTGGCCCAGGCGAGACGCTTCTTGCGCTGTTTCTTGTTCAAGAGTGGCTTGACACACGGAATGCGACACCTGAATCCCATGTCTTTCATGAGTCTCCTCGTGGTGGTTCTTGAAGCGCTGACTCCAGCTGCAGTCCACTCTTTGTGGATCTCCCCCACATTTCTGAATGGGTTTGTCGTCACAATTCTCTGCAGGGTGCGGTTATCCCTAGAGCTTGTACACTTTTTTCTACCACATTTTTTCCGTCCCTTCGCCTGTCTGTTAATGTGCTTGGACACAGAGCTCTGCGAACAGCCAGCTTCTTTAGCAATCACCTTTTGTGTCTTGCCCTCCTTGTGCAAGGTGTCAATGATTGTCTTTTGGACAGCTGTTAAGTCAGAAGTCTTCCCCATGATTGTGGTGCCTTCAAAACAAGACTGAGGGACCTTTTAAAGGCCTTTGCAGGTGTTTTGAGTAAATCAGCTGATTAGAGTGGCAGCAGGTGTCTTCTATATTCAGCCTTTTCAGAATATTCTAATTTTTTGAGATACCAAATTTGGAGTTTTCATTAGTTGTCACTTATGAATATCAAATTTAAATGTAATGAACATTGGAAATACATTGGTCTGTGTGCATTGCATGAATATAATGTACAAGTTTCACGTTTTGAATGGAATTACTGAAATATTTTCAACCTTTTGATGATATTCTAATTTACTGGCCAGCACCTGTAGCTTAAATCACCTTTCTTTCCCATTCTGACCTTCAGTTTGGAGTTCAGGAGATGGTCTCGACCAGGACCACACCCCTAAATGCACTGAAGCAACTGCCATGTGATTGGTTGATTAGATAATTGCATCAAGGAGAAGTTGAACAGGTGTTCCTAATAATCCTTTAGATGAGTGTATATGTGTGTGTAGGTTGGACTAAATTTATTTTTTGTCTAAATACAGAAATAATTCCCAATTAGAACGTAAATAATCCACAGAAAATTGTAACCTGCTGATTGTTTTCTATTTTACCAGAATACTCGACATGAATCTTACCATTTAAAATAAAAACACATAAAAATAAAAGAGGAAAAAAAAACCAAGTTGAAGCATTTCAACAGGATAAATGGTAAATGGCCTGTATTTGATATAGCGCCTTCTAGAGTCCTGGAACTCCTCAAGGCACTTTACAACACAATCAGTCATTCACCCATTCACACACTGGTGGGGATGAGCTACGATGTAGCCACAGCTGCCCTGGGGCGCACTGACAGAGGCGAGGCTGCCGAGCACTGGCGCCACCGGTCCCTCCGACCACCACCAGCAGGCAAGGTGGGTTAAGTGTCTTGCCCAAGGACACAACGACGGCGACAGACTGAGCGGGGCTCGAACCTGCAACCTTCCGATTACGGGACGAGCACTTAACTCCTGTGCCATCGTCGCCCAGGATAGAAAGTGAACCCAAGCCTGAACACGGTCTGATCAGCTGATCTGAACATTGATGCAGATGTAGAAGACGGCACCCGTCGTTGAACACTCACCAGTATGGCGTTCCCACAAAAGAGTTGGCTGGAGACAATATGGAGGCCGATCCAAAGTCCCCCAGTTTAACCTGACCAGGTTCTGTTAGCAGGATGTTTCCTGCTTTTACGTCCCTGCGAACATTAAAATAAAATAAAGATGAGCAAACATTGGCCACATTGGAACTCAAAATACATTTCATATCAGTAATGAAAAAGGTGCTGATAGCATTTGGTCTACATTATTCTGGGGGGTGTTTAAATTCGTGGTTGAACTTTTTAACCACCATCCTTCATGGCTTGATGGGGAAACAATCAAAATCCAAGAATAACACTAATGGGCTAAACACTCAGGAGACGACATCACCTCTCTTCCATTCATTTTCAATGAGACATGCGCAACAAACGCCGGTCTCCCTCCTGCTAGGCGATACACAAAAAACCGTGCATGTGAAATTTTGCGCTTGTGCATGTGTTGTGCTGGTCTGGCCAGCCATGCCAATGATTCCTTATGGGAAGCAAAGAGTCTGGTAACACTTCCACTCCAATAACTCCACCCCGAGAATTCTAGCTGAGCCAATCAGCGCTGAGCAGCATAGGTCACATACCGCAAAGGTTCTCATAAACAATGAAGATGGTGTCTGAAGCAGCATTTGCTGCAGCTATTTCCTCTGTTCTAAATGACTTGGAGACGTCGTTAAAACCACAACAAGTACAAGCGCTAAAAGCCTTTCTTATAAACAAAGATGTTTGCGCCGTCGCCAGACGCCATCTTTGACTACATCTACAAAGTATAGCATCACACGATACAGTCGTCATTTCTGCCTTTTTTCTGATTGTTATTTTTGAGCTGGCTAGTCCCGCCCCTCATGGAGCTCTCTGGCTCTAAGGATCCAGACACATCCTCTGTGTAGAACAGACACGTCTGGCTGGCCAGGCTAGTGTTGTGCACAGTGCGAGCCAACAAAGCAATCCCAGAAAGTTAGGAAAATTTCAGCTTTTCATCACGGTCGCTCGAACAAGGACCAATCAGCAGAGGTTTCATTGACTGCCCAATGAATGGACAGGATGCTTCTCATTAGATCTCCGGGAAAACATGGAGGAAAAGTTCATACTTGCCATGTCGGATTTTCCAGAGCTTTACAACATTTCTACAAAAGAATATAGAGATCTTCACAAAAAGGCAGCGGCATGGGAAATTGTTGGTGCCAGAATTAATACATCAGGAAAGTTTACTTACATAATTTTATCTAATGCAATAGCAAACCTGAATAAAAAAGCAAACAAAGACTCTTTTCGCTCTGGAACAGAGCGTGTCGCCGGCTTTGCTGCTGGCACATGTTGCCTCCTGTGTGTCAGGTTATCAAAGCAATAGCGAGTTTTGCTGATCGTGTTCGTTTGTCGCCTCCCGTGTGTTGAGCCCATTTGAAAGTGGTTTTAGTCACATTTAAGCTTTAAAACCATGGCAGCAAAGTGCAAAAAAGACAACAATCCATCTGACTTATATATTCTGACAGGGTTTTTGTTTAAGACAAAAGAAAAGGGAAAAAATTTAAATGCAGCAGCTTAAAACTATATCCTTCAAAAATGAGCTAAAGCTAGAGGAAAACAGCTGATTTAACACAGGCCAATTCACTTTAACCCCAATGGACTTTAAAGCACAGAGTGGTTTAGCTTGGGAATGCTGAAGAACATTTTGATATTATGACAATATAAAATATTTTCACTTTTTCCCCAGTTTTGTTTTAGATCTAGTTTTCTATAGGTGACTGTTACTTCAGTTTCCCCATAAAATTTGTCCAGACATGGTGGGGGCGCATCAGCCTTGAGGGGGGTGTGTGTGTGCATTCGCTCCCAGGATCGTTTCACTGCTATGAGTGCGGGGAAGGGGGTAATAGTTGTACGCTGAACATTTTGCTTCCGTGCTTCTCCCGTGAGAGCGGGGGTGTCCGACTTCATAGCCGTGTAGGGTTGGGCATAGAGCAACTCTGTTTTTCCCCAGAATCATTCTTTTTTTTAATATTTTTTAATTTCGATTCCAAGTATAGATTCCCTGGCTGCTGACTGGAAGAATCTGCGGCTGAGCTTCATGAAAATAAATAAATAAATAGGTAATCTGCAAATTCTGATCAACACCTTTCAAAGCTGATCCCACCAGCTGCCTGTCGCTCCAACTCTGCAGAGACCCTGAGAGCAGCATCACACCCCCCTTCCCTTCCCTCACACTGCGCCAGCACACAGCGGCAAACACATAAACGCGTCCGCCAAACTTTCTCTGTGATGTAATCTTTGCATCCAACAGCGAAAACTACAGCAAAGAGGAAGCTCGTTAAAAACGTCAACACGGTGGATTTAATACAAGTTTTAAAGAACAAACTCCGGGCGGCGTTTGGTGAGTTTGTCTTACTGCAAAAATAAAATACACACGGAGCATCAACAGTCAAACACAGCCACTTACTAACACTCATCTGTGTGAGCACGACCGTCAGAAGGCTGAGCAATAACCCGCAAAATAAAGTCATCATGCTGGATCAGCCTTTCTCTGTGGTGGACCACACCGGGTTCTGGCCACTAGGAGCCGATAGGGATAATAAATAAGTAAATAAATATTAGGAATGCACTGATACTGGTACAAGTTAATCGATACCATTGCAGTTGCCTTAAAGTGGCTTCACTGTAACTTGTCCTTTTTGTTCACCTAATATTTTAGTTTTGTGATCGTCGTCGTCTTCCTTCGCTTACCCGGGTCCGGGTCGCGGGGGCAGCATCCCAACTAGGGAGCTCCAGAACGTCCTCTCCCCGGCCACCTCAACCAGTTCCTCCCGCAGGACCCCAAGGCGTTCCCGGACCAGATTGGAGATGTAACCTCTCCAACGTGTCCTGGGTCGACCCGGGGGCCTTCTGCCAGCAGGACATTCCCAGAACACCTCCCCAGGGAGGCATCCAGGAGGCATCCTGACCAGATGCCCAAACCACCTCAACTGACTCCTTTCGATCCGGAGAAGCAGCGGTTCTACTCAGGGTCCCTCCAGAATGTCCGAGCTCCTCACCCTATCTCTAAGGCTGAGCCCGGCCACCCTACGGAAGAAACTCATTTCGGCCGCCTGTATCCACAATCTTGTTTTTTTCTGTCATTACCCAAAGCTCACGATCATAGGTGAGGATTGGGACGTAGATCGACCGGTAAATCGAGAGCCTGGCTTTCTGGCTCAGCTCCCTCTTCACCACGACCGATCGGTTTAGAGTCCGCATCACTGCAGACGCCGAACCAATCCGCCTGTCGATCTCCCGATCCCTCCTACCCTCACTCGTGAACAAGACCCCGAGATACTTAAACTCCTCAACTTGAGGTAGGACCTCTCCCCCGACCCGAAGTTGGCAAGCCACCCTTTTCTGGTCGAGAACCATGGTCTCAGATTTGGAGGTGCTGATCCTCATCCCAGCCGCTTCACACTCGGCCGCGAACCTACCCAGCAAGAGCTGAAGGTCAGAGCTGGATGAAGCTAGGAGGACCACATCATCCGCAAAAAGCAGAGACGAGATTCTCCTGCCACCAAACTCAACACACTCCACACCACGGCTGCGCCTAGAAATTCTGTCCATAAAGGTAATGAACAGAACCGGTGACAAAGGGCAGCCCTGGCGGAGTCCAACCCTCACCGGGAACAGGTCCGACTTACTACCGGCTATGCGGACCAAACTAACGCTCCTCTGGTAAAGGGACTGAATGGCCCTTAACAGAAAGCCACCCACCCCATACTCCTGGAGCGTCCCCCACAGGGTGCCCCTGGGGACACGGTCATAAGCCTTCTCCAAATCCACAAAACACATGTGGATTGGTTGGGCAAACTCCCATGCCCCCTCTATCACCCTTGCAAGGGTATAGAGCTGGTCCACAGTTCCACGGCCAGGAAGAAAACCACATAGCTCCTCCTCAATCTGAGATTCAACTATCGATCGGACCCTCTTCTCCAGTACCTTGGAGTAGACCTTTCCAGGGAGGCTGAGGAGTGTGATCCCCCTATAGTTAGAACACACCCTCAGGTCACCCTTCTTAAAGATGGGGACCACCACCCCGGTCTGCCACTCCACAGGAACTGCCCCCGATGACCACGCAATGTTGCAGAGATGTGTCAACCATGACAGCCCTACAATATCCGTAGTAGTTGTGATCATTTCTATTAATATACACAGCTCACAAAAATGAAAGGAACACTTTAAAGAGACACATTAGATACATCAGATCTCAATATGAAGTTGGATATCTATACAAATAACGACAGGGCGATGTCTTAGGAACAAAAGGATGCCAAGTCTTTTAATGGAAATAAAAGTTAACAGCCTACAGAGGGCTCAGTTGTGTTGACACCCTAAAATCGGAGTGAAATGAAGATGTGGCAGGCTAGTCCATTATTTCAAAAACTTCATTTCTGCAACTCAAATTGCGTTTCAATACCTTGTGTGGCCCCCACGAGCTTGTGTGCATGCTTGACAACGTCGGGGCATGCTCCTAATGAGACAACGGATGTGGTCTTGTGGCATTTCCTCCCAGATCTGTGTGAGGGCATTCCTGAGCTCTTGTACAGTCTGAGGAGCAACCTGGCGCCGCCTAATGGACCGAAACATAATGTCCCACAGATGTTCTATTGGGTTCAAGTCAGGGGATCGTGAAGGCCATTCAATTGATTCAATTCCTTCATCCTCCAGGTACTGCCTGCATACTTTTGCCACATGAGGCTGGCATTGTCGTGCATTAGGAGAAACCAGGACCTACTGCATCAGCGTAGGGTCTGACAAGGGGTTCAAGGATTTCATCTCCATACCTTATGGTAGTCAGAGCACGATTTCTTAGGCAGTAGAGGTCTGTGCGTCCCTCCATGGGTATGCCTCCCCAGACCATCACTGACCCACCACCAAACCTGTCATGTTGAACGACGTTGCAGGCAGCATAACGTTCTCCTTGTCTTCTCCAGACTCTTTCACATCTATCACAGGTGCTCAGGGTGAACCTGCATGATGCATGGTGGCGCAGTGGTTAGCACTGTTGCCTCGCAGCACGGTCGCAGGTTTGAAACTCGGCTGTGGCCTTTCTGCGTGGAGTTGCGTGTTCTCCCCATGCATGCGTGGGTTTCCTCCGGGTACTCCGGTTTCCGCCAAAGATCACAACATGCCCTACAGGTTATAAATTGTAAGTTGCTTTGGATAAAAAGCAGTGCTCAGCCTGTTCCGCCTTGCACAAAGGAGCAGGTATCGTCCTGCTGATGGATTGTGGACCTTCTACGGCCCTGTCCAGCTCTCCGAGAATAACCGCCAGCCTCCTGAGATCTCCTCCATGTTCTGGAGATTGTGCAGGGAGACGCATTAACCTTCTTGCTGCAGCACCTGTGGATGTGCCATACTGGAGAAGTTGGACAACCTGTGCAACTTCTGTAGGGTTAAGGAATCGCCTCATACTGCTAGTAGAGAGCCAAAACTAGCACGAGTGGAAAACCAGCCGAAACAGATCAAGAGGGAGAAACTTGAAATGACCTCTACATGTTAAAGCAGTCCTGTTTTGAGGGTTTTGTAATTGTTGCCACTTTAGTGCACCTGTCGTTAAGTCCATGAACACCAATACAGCTGAAAGTGATTAACAATGCCCTCAGCTGCTTTATCAACCAGGAAATTATTTAACAGATTTCATGCCAGGCCCAATAAAACAGTGTTCCTTTAACTCTTGTGAGCAGTGCATTTTATTTTTTATCTACCTCAGTCTTTTCCTGTTCAAGGCAGAGGAAAATAAAACCTGTATTCCAATTCATTGCATTTTTTTTTTTGTGTGGTAGAAATATTGGTACTGGTAATCAGAGTACTCATAACCAAGAATCTGCATTGTATCGGTTTGGAAAAAAGTGGTATCGTTGCATCCCTAATAAATATAATAATCTCAACACACAAAGTTGTGGGATAATTTTTTTGCTTTTATGAACTATTTAGTCTGTCGAGAGTTTCAACGTTTTAAATCTGTTAGATTGTTACTGCTGCTACTACAGCAGCAACATTTAAGTTTCAGTTTCTCTTCTGACTGAATCAATGCTGCAGCACATGGGTGTAGACTCAGCCATCCTGGACATGATCATCCTGAGAGTTTTAGTTGAAAACAGCTGGACTTTTCTGGTTGTGTTGAAGATGTGTTGCCTCTCATCCTAGAGGCTTCTTCAGTTTGGTTGTGGTCAGAAACAAACAGCGATGGTGCACTGCTGCAGGTCTTTCTGTTTCTTTCTCCAAAACATGTTTTTGTTTAAATGAAGGTGATGTTACTGTTCATGGAATTTAAATTCATGGTGAAGTTCAGATTATTTCATTAAGCAAGATCTGTGGTTAGCTGGCTCATTTAAAACATGTAAAGTTTTTAGATCCTGCCTCTTGAAAGAATCGAGAATTGATAGAAACCTGAATCGAAACAAGGAATTAGAATCGTTCAAATTCAAACGATGCCATAGCCATGGAGCTAGAGTTTCAGCCGAGGCGCCCATGTGGGGGAAACACTGCACTTTTATGTACTCTGTCCATTCTTTGTATTTTACTTTCTATTTTTTTATTGTTTTAACGTATTTTATCATATCTCTTGCATTTTACCTTATTTTTCACTGGACCAGTGTGTGTTAAAGTCTACTACTACTATTTTACCTCCTTTGCACAAATAATCACTCCTAATATATAGTGTGTCAGAGGGGTTTGACGTCACACAGCAACAAGTTGGTGAGACGTTAATGCAAGAAAAAAAAAACAACCAAAAAACAAGATGCTACCTGTGAATCATGTTGTGAGAATGAAGATATGCTAATCCCTGCAGAGCACCATGGGTAATAGCAGCTATTTCGACCTCCTGGAGGGGCTTTTTGTGAACTAGGAGAAAAGTAGAAATCCAGAGTCAGAAAGGTGATTTTGAATTGTCCATGATAAAAGTGAAAAGCTGAACCAACCTTCGAGGAGGTCTGAAGCGGAGCCGAGGCAGTATTCCATCACCAGCTGAGGGACGAATCACACAGACGTAAATACACATCCCCATTGAAGGAGTGCGTGAAACTTGGAAAGTTGTACAAATACTAGTTATGTCTGAAAATAAAGTTTATTTTTAGTATCTGTGGACATTCTGTTGTTCTGACAAAAACCTAGTGCCTTTGACACTTAGTACAGACCTGGTAGACACAAAACTTTGGGTTTTCAAACTAAATGTAGCAGGACGATAGTCTCTCGTTACACTGACATCACACTACGTACCCATGCTGTGTGTTCTTTCAAGTAACAGCCTCGGTACTCAATAGTGTTGGGGTGTCGAAGTTTCTGCAGGAACTTCACCTCCTTAATGATGTCTTGCCATTTCTGCATGAGAGAACGTGAAAACCTGGTTGAACTTTATGTAGGTTGGTTTGTGCAGTTTTTAGAAAATACTGAGAAATAATTTCTGTAAACCGTGAGCTGAAAAGAAACCGTCAGGATCCGAAAACAGAGACGACTTTTGCAAACAGACATTTGGGACTAAACACAAACGTACAGTAAACTGAACCATCACAAGGCTTTTATGAATCGTAATAATCTTTATGACAATGACATTTTAGTGAAACACCATCACTGACTTCTTCATTACCTCATTTGTCTGTTTTCCGCTGTACGACATTTTCTTGATGGCCACCACTTCATTGCTGTGCACATCACGGGCCTGTGAGACAAAAGCAAATACTCAGCCTGTGTGTGTGTGTGTGTATGTATGTATGTATGTCCCGTATTTTCCGGAGTATAAGTCGCACCAGCCATAAAATGTAAAATGAAGAAAAAAAACACATAAGTCACATTTTGGGGGGGAAATTTTTATAATTTTTCTTACAAAATCTGGAACCATGCGTTTCACTTTGCAAGACAAGTATCGGTAACAATAACAGAATAAACAACTCGGGCGCAGCGGCGCACCACGGTCTCCAGCAGAGGATGGCGGTGTTTCAAACCCTCCTAGCGGGACAGGGGAGCTCATTCCTGGGTCGGAACCGGCCCGCAGCACCCCACCACAGGCTGCAACAGGTGATGGCGGGGCAGAAGAGCTGAAACCTGGGCCGGATCCAGTGCGCAACTGCGCGCCACAGGCTCCAGCAGGTGATGGCTGTGTGTTTTTTATTCCCAGCGGGGCAGGGGAGCTCATTCCTGGTCCAGAGCCGGCTCGCAGCAGAAGTGCGGTATAGCCTACATAATTTGGTATATAAGTCGCTCCGGAGTATAAGTCGCAGGACCGGCCAGACTATGAAAAAAAGTGCGACTTATAGTCCGGAAGTCCGGAAGTCTGATCTGACGCACATTTAGGAAACAGTGGGAAACTATTTTACAAGTGGATGTGCTACAAAAATAACAGAAATATACTCACATTTACCTTACATGATAATCATAAATTAAACAACACCCAGATGGAAATTGTGGGCCAGTCTATTTTAATGAACAGATTTTATACAAAATTGAACACAACAACATGCCAGGGGGTGCACTATACAAAGGTTAAATACATCCTGTTTGTTTAGTGATCTGCTATTGTACAACAGTTTAAAACGAGGTTTCTGGTTATTGGACTTGATAACACACTACCGTCTATTTTCTATTGGAAGCTGAAGCTAATGCAGGAGATAGGCGTCGAAGACTATTTTCATGTTCAGGCGGTATGTTAAACTCAGAGTGACTGAACAATGATCTAGTTTCCGTTAGCTCGTCTAAAAATAAAAGCTCGCAATGTTTGTTTCCGTTTCAGGGGTTGCTTGCAAGGTCTTTGTTTGGTCACGTGAATGCAGCAAAGGATTGTGGGACGTTTAACCAAAACATAGAAGTTATGTTGGTGGTGTGGTTGTTTTTTTACTAGGGCTGCACGATATTAGGAAAACCTGCAATATTCGATAAAAGTGCTTAATATTGCGATATCGATATTACTCACGATAAATGAACAAATACTAAAGTATGCAGTGTTGATGTCGTCTGGCGTGTGACGTCTGCTCTGGGTTCAAAGCAAACAAAAACTAATGCATGAATTCCATTACAACATAACATTTTTATTGCAAAAATATGCAGCTGCACCTGCTACTGTATTAGCAGCAAAACAACAAACTGCATGCATGCAGTTTCTCAGTGACTTTAAAACATCACCACCATAAAACTTTTTCTGATGCTCTAAATACAGAAAAACATCCCTTACCAGGGTTTTGGAATAAATAAAAAAAATCAGAAAATAATTTTAAACGTTAAATAATAGTTAACATCACTTAAATGCAACAGCAAATTCACTCATTGCTACTGAACATTTTCTCCACCTATGTGGTTATGATATAAGGCTGTTGCTGTAACTGGGAAGTGAACTGTGCTGGGCCAAACTAGGAGAATACTAAGATTTTCTGAGGGAAAGAGAAAAGCAATTGTCTACCTTTCAGAAGAGGAACTGGCAAAAAAAAACTACATGGAAAATATGTGAAAACGTTTGTTTTTAACCCCAAATTGAACAAGTTTACCTAGATCTTAAAAAGCAGCTCAGATGATGAAACTGCAGCTATGATTCTGATAACAAGCTAACAAATTGAACTAGCTCCTCTAAGATAACCGGCTAGCAGAGCTTCTGACTGACAGTTTATGTGCAGCAGCAAATCAACTATCCTGACTAACAAGGTTATAAAAGCTCATAAATGAAAAATCACTTTGATGTGTGGGGGAACTTTTCCAGGCCCCCTTTAGCAGGGTGGGACTGGGAGGAGAGTGCTGTAGCCTTTTTGCTGGAAGTTAACCGGAGCATGGGGCTAACATCACCACCCGGTGGAACACTAGCGACATGGAGGGAGGTGGGTTGGTTCACCGGCACGTGTCGGAGTCAGCCCGGGTATTATCAGCTGCTTAACGACACCGAGCAGATTCGCGTTCACGTTTGAAAGCAGCGCTGATTCCAGGAATCTCAGCACAAAGTGCGTTCGTTGCTCTGAGCTAGCATGACGAACAAGGGAACGGCGCCGCTAACTCAGTTCGGGTGTTGCTTTCCATCCTAAGGGTCTACGTAGGGGGCGGGCGTATTACGTGAACGGACCCATCTGATAGGCCGCATATCAGAAGGGCTACATTTGATTGGTCAAATAATACTTCAGCGTAAAAAACAGAGCTGGTTTACAAAAAGGTGATGTATGACACGGATGGAAATGTTTGAACCAAACACTTATCGCCGTTTTTGGCGTGCTTTGCAATGGGCCTATCGCACGTCCTGTTATCGCGATGAGGATAATTTTTCGATATATTGTGTAGCCCTATTTTTTACTGTGTTGAAACAAGACACGCAAAAAGCAGTGTGCACCATGTGTAAAGTCAACGAGGATGCCACGTTGTTTTTAACACCACCAGTTTGATTTGTAATTTGAATAATCACCACCCAGAACTTTACAAACGATGGCAGGAAGCCAACAGCACCAAAGGTAGCCGACAGGAAAGAACAGCAGCAACTGCTGGGAGCTCATTACAGCAGGTACTCGAGCAAAGTTCTCCAAAGACAGCTCAAAAGCAAAGTCAACAATGAAAATAATGGAAATGACTGCTCTCGACAACTAGCCATTGTTTATAGTGGAGGGCAAAGGATGATGAGACACTTTCACCGTGTCCACATTCGAGGGTAGCATGAGGTTGGATTTGGATTTTAAGACCAGTGACGTCACAACGCCACGACGAAGACTGTGCAAATTCAAAGAGCGCTCTTCAAATGCAGTCTTGGAATCTGTTCTTTCCCCCCATTTCGCGAACAGGTGCGGTGTAGTCTCCTCACCTCTTAAATCTCGAGATGCACTGCAGAATCTTACAGATGGAAATAAGATACAGTAGCATTTTCAGGTTTTTCAGTACCGCAAATTACTCATGCCATGAATCTAGCTTTAGTTGACATGAAATTGGTAAGAGCTTTTAGACTTAAACAAAGACAAATAATACTATACCAGCCGATCATTGTGTCTCAGCCTGACATACAAAATATCCCGGCACCAGCAGTACATTCGCTGTAGCTCATCAAACGGTAACTAAACAAGGAAAAAGTTTAAAACATGTTTTTTTCTTAAAGTTTAAAACATGTGCAAGCTCCATTTCTGCAGCTTCTTCTTAGTGCGGTAGCAGTTGCTAGGTGACAGGAGTACATCTGCCAAATTAGGGGCGAGTAGGGCTGCTCGATTATGGCAAAAACAATAATCACGATTATTATGACTGAAATTGAGATCTCGATTATTTAGGACGATTTTTCAATTTATGTTGATTTTATTTGTTTTTATTCGGTCATAAAATTGCTCAAGGCACAATCAGGACAAAAAGAAATAAACAAGATGATCACTAAAATAACTCCTGATTCCCAGTATAAAAAGACCAATATACTTATAGCTCATAGTCTATGACCCAAGGGCCTATAGACCTTGGTTTAACTAATTTAAGTCTAACCAGTACAGACCCAAATACCAACATCTTGCAAATACTGACAGCAAGAATTATACATTGGCATTTATAACAAAAAAATGCAAATAATAGGGCTGGGGGTAAACGATTATCTTTAAAACGATTATTCTGACGATTATTTTATCGAATAGTCGACTATTCTAATGACTATTTAGACAATTAATCTAATGATTATTTTTCTATTGCACAGTTAATAAAAACCAAAAAATCTCTAATAAATTCCTCAAAAAAATTGATAAATTGTTACTGTAAGAGAATAAACACTACAGGCCTTCCATTTTGTAAAACACTGCTTTTATTGTGTTGGTTGGTTATGTTCTGGTGACGTGTAGAACTTGGGAGTGCAGGCTGCTGCCTGAGAGGTGGTTGGAGACGGAGTGTCTCCATGCTGCTTTGTTTTGGTCACTTATGTGCGTGAGGCGAGTGGTGTTACGACTCTTCCTGGGGAGTTTGGCTCGTGTGCAAAAAGGAAGGGACAACAACGGGATTTAAAAGTTAAAATGATGATCAGGTTTATTTACAACTACAAAAAAAACATAAACCTTTCCATCCACAGGTTGGGAATAATAAAACTAATTCTGCCTGTGGGGAATTAAAACAAAAGTAAAAATAAGTAGGGATGTCCCACTGGGCAAAGATTACTGGGTTCTGGACCAAAATAAGAATCTCCAAAGGTCCAACTCTAAACTGAGTGGTTAAACCAAATTCAAGGTGATATTTTAAACTAAACCGAAAACCCACAACACTCTAAATGTAATAAAAGGGAGATCTGCACCACAAAAAAGATGAACTCTAAACCAAAACGTAACAGCTTATCCAAACGCAAGAAGCTGTTAGCGAAAATGCTAACAGTAGCTTTACCAACGTTACGTTCAAGTTACCAAGTTTAAATGAACCAAAAACACCCAGCAGCAAACAGACCAGCACGGAGGAGAGACTGCTACCACCAAAACAGCTCTCCTAATGTCTGAAAGAAGCTCCTTTATGAAGGGAGAAACGCTCCCGGTGATTTTCTACATCTGCGGTAGAGACGGAGCAGCGCATCTGACCCCGGAAGTTGTTGTCCGTTGCAGGGAGATGAAGGCGGGCAAAACAGGAAAGGAATCTAGTAGTGGACGGACATTATTCCGGGTCTTCGGTATTTGGCAGAGATGTTAGCGAAGGTGGAGAAGAGGGCGAACTAGAGGAAAAACATGCAGATTCCTCTTCTATTTACAAACTCCTGTG